AGGCATAATTTGCAAGTCATGGTTATTATTTAATGTTTAAAAAATATGTGATACGGGAATCGCAACGCGATACCCTCTCCCTTGTCTTGTCTCTTTACCGTCTAATTGAAGGCATACTACACAGAGCCCGATTCGGATCACATGACCTCTGAACTCAACTTTATAAGACAACTCGCATACTCATGATCTTTAAACAAAACAAAGATGAGTACCAAATTAAATGATTCAAGGAAATAAATGAATAAATCAAAGTATTCTTTCATTGTTACAACATTTCTTTATTTAGAAATAAAGTCAAACTTATTTTTATCTCAAATAGATTTCATTCTCTCAAAAATAGGACATTTTTGGCATCTCCAAAATTGCCACAGCTCTTTTCAGAAGAACGATACGAAAATAAATATTCGGAATTCAATTATAGCATCGGGGGTGATGATTTGCACGACGTGCATTACCTACATGACATTAATCAAATCAGAGCAGAAGGAATCCTAAGCAATGCTCACATGTGACACCGTGTCGATATAAATCTCATTACCATATCAGAGATTTTCTTAGTAACCTTACAGGCAGTTCTTTTAGGGATCCAAAGTATTTTTTAGGTTTTGTTTCTAATAATAGTATCTTTGATTTGTAGATTCTGGTGTTCCAACCGAATAGTTTTACAATATTCAACTTACTACAGTCCATAGATACTATGAGTTCAGTACCTACTAAAGAAAAAACTTGTTGATCCAACGAGGCAGTAAAGTAACAATGTAGTTAGATACAACGGATGCATTAATTATTCTATTAATATTTAACGACGAAACGCATTGTCCTCAGTTTGCATCCTTTGATAATAAAGAGTCCAGCGATCCGCGCGTGCGCATGATACACAAATATGGCGACTGCAACATGGCCGCTCGGTAGCGGTATTGCGTTGGGATTGCATTATCCATATTCGATAGTAAGGTGTGCCGTATACGTGATCGGCAACATGTTTTTAATCACGATACCTTGATTGCTAATGTCTCTACATCTTAGAAAACTCTAGAACACGCAAGAATATCAATGAATACTTAGAAATGTACTGTAAGAGGGTGAAGTCCTAACGAAAACAACGAGTTACGATGAACTTATCAAATATAATAACATTTGTGTCTATGTTCATGTCTGTTTGACACTAAGCCTAGGCTTAAATCATTGGACGGTCACCGTAATCCAATTTCACAAAACACGTGGTAAACAATGCTACCAGTATAATCTACGTGGTAACCAGGCTGGTCGCGTGTGAGCTGACTACGACTTGACTTACATAAATTCTACAACAAAGTTTCGAACGTTTGAAAACGTATTGATTTTCGCAATTCACACTTTCGTCCTTTCTACGTGATACGCAAAATCGATGTTTATGAGTGCAATGAATTTTTAAAACCCTATTAAAACGACACATTTATCTAGAAAGACGGCACTTACAAATAAATTATCCTTGAGTTAAATAAACACCCGCATCTGCGTGTGGTTGGATCGTAATTTTTATCCAATAAAATATAGTTATTCTTGATCGAACCGTTTGGTAGGTCGGGCAATGCACTCTCTGGAAATAATAACAACTATGGACGCTATTAGAAAGCGAATCGTCCGTCATATGTACATACATATGTAGCGCAATCATAGCTTCTTCTTTTTGATATTGTGATTTTCCGAATGTCGCATTGTAAAGGTTGGACTGATCATTGAAGTTAATGAACACGATTTGTGTTTTTATTAGAACATTATAATACATAAGTAGTGTTACTTAAATAGTTTGAACGTACTGTATGAATGAGTCACTTTATGCCTTGAAAGTATTATGCAGTTTTAGCCGACATTGGCAGCAGCAAAGGCCACCTTTTGTAGTTTCACTTGAAAAGGCTGTAATAGTGCCATAATTGCTTTCAGTAGCTGCCGCACCGTAGATACCTCATTTCTATCGATTACTTCCGCAACATGGAGTCGCTCAGCTATTTAGAGTAAAATGTTCAGGGTGACAAAAAATGTTGAATCCTTCCTGATTTCGTTTGGCTTTAAAGGTTCACAACAAAACAAAGAGTCTCTTCAAAACAAAGAATGTAACAATTTTCCGCACAATAGAAGAAATTCTCGCTTTGCTCATTCTTTCAGATATAATGGCGACATTTACAATACTGAGAAAACTGGTTCTCGTCGCGTCATCCTGGCCTCTATTACCCGTCATAACATTGTTACAGCAATCAAGTATCGGAACTAACACAATTTGACAGACCTTACCATCCGGGAGTAGCTATCGACACTTGTAATTAACGACCTTACACTAACCGAACTTCAATTATCGTTGGCAGTGACAAAAAGTTGATTGAATAGGCTAGAGAAAAAGTTTGCGGAAGAGCCGTGAGATTCCTGGTTTTGATGAACAGGTGTACTTACTAGAATTAGAGTAATCAAAAGAAAGAATTTAAGATCGTGATTTGTCTAGTATTGTTACGCAAAAGGTAAATCAAATTGTTGACAGGAATGGTAACAGTTGTATTATGACCATAAATAATTCACCATACAATCGGTAATCGAGTGTCTCACGGTCCATTAACTGAATGATATGTTAACCGTTTTTGTATTTAACTAGTTGGCTATGATCTAACGATAAAATAACGTTATTACGTTTTTTCTTCGCAAGCATGGGTCGTAATAATATTTTATAGCGTTGATAAACATAATATTGTTATGTAATAAACTGCGTTTGTTATGAATTAAAGAATCGTCTAGTATATTATTGTAGTGAAGTAGACTTTTTTTCTTTTAAAAAGGTTTTATTTAATAAAGTATTTATTTGAAGACTCCTTTGTATTGTAGTTTAAAAAAGCGTATTGAAAAGCAGCACTCTGCGGTTAGTCATATGAAACAAAGAATGGATGAGTCAAAGAGTCAACTAACCTATAGAAAGTTTATCAAAACGGATACTTCTGATTTTTTTATTCAGTTCCGACACCTTTATCAAACATGCATATTGACGACAATTTTTCGAATTCCTTTCTTTAGTTAACAAGATAGTAAATAAGTTTTCGATAACAATTTGAAAAACATTACAACTGACATATTCCAAACGTATTACCTACTGTTTTTTTTTTATTTATCACTCTTTCACTGTCAAAAATGTTCACAGATGATTCTTACTAAATCTTATCTATAAGGTCTCCCAAACAGACTAATTGGGTTATTTTATCAGTTATTAACCTAGTTATTTGAATTTTTAAGCGGTATTACTACCCAATTAAAATGAATTTGATATTACGAAACAATAATTTGAATAAGAAATAGTGGATTGTGTGGTCCTGTAAAAGATTTCTATGATACCCCTTTCAATAAATCGTGCTAAGGAAGTGTTTAAAAAGAGTTTTTAGTGATACTACATTTGTTTTAACAATTCTGTAAAGGTTTTATTGTTTTATTAGAGCAAGTAATATCGTCTAAGTAGGTAGGTAGGTTAGGGCCATAGCCATAGAGTAATTGGTCCCTACCTACTCGTCTACAACATAGGTACTTTTGAAAAAATTAAATAAACTTGTACACTGTAGCATATAGAGATACCTCCTTTATTTTTTACGACTCTTGAAGTTCGAACATAGTTCCAACGAATTTAAATTTGAAATTCTGTAATTGCTAGGGTCCGGTAGCTACCCTTTTTTCGCTACGAGAAATTTAATGAATGCACCACGTTCTAGTTGGTGCACAGTTAATAGCATAGATTACGATAAGTTATCAAAACAGGACGCCGGTAAAATAATATTCTCAGCTATACAAAGTAGGTAGGTAGGTTGCATTATGTAGCATAGAATGCAGCATAGTTGAGACCTTCTTGTGATCCCGGATACTAGAAATGATCTCAATTCCAATTGAATTTAGAATCAGATATTGATATTGCATCTAACTATATGTCAATCAAATGTTATTAGGTACTTTTCTTAGGTAACTAAAAACAAAACTGCATTCTCACAAAACACCGTAATTAATACGTGTAATATACGGTTTTCTTGTTAAATAAAAATGGGATCTCACTGGTGTGTGTAGCAAGCACTCTAATGTTATTACTTACGCATAACTTACATAGGTATCTCAATGTTTACTAATTTTCATGTAGACGTTTCAAAAACAAAGAACGCTCTGCGAAAGTCTTGAGACAGACGTTATAACCAATCACGTGTTTTAGCCAGCATTGAAATGATTTACCTAAATGTTCAGAAAAGCATAACATACTCACAATATGAAGCATACTATGCACAGACAGCTGTTGAATTCCCTTCTCTCCGATATCGCCCCAACGCCGAACGAAAACACAGCACTGTTGTTTATTTAGTCTATTTAAAACAAGCTTCAACGCCCCATTTAATTACTCCGTCATCATTATCAAAATTTCAACGCACAAATAGCTATAATGGAATCAAAACAATTACATTCAGCGGTATTATTTATTTTCGTCGACTGTTAGAACTGCGAACGCACAGTTGTCACGATAACGATGCGACATACGTCTCGCTCGCTGATGTTCTCAGAACGAACTATTTTGTTTTGCTAAAAAATTCTTGGATTTCTTGATGTTCCAAAGAGTGAACCTAATCAACAATAGAACGAATGAATTTTGAGACCGAATGAAGTTGGTTGTAGATCGCAGAATTGCCATACGCAATTAAAACATGCAAACTGAAAATTTTTACTTATTGATTGGTTTATATTAAAAATCAAGAATTCATTCACAAATTTTATAAAACAATTTTATTTATAAGTATAAATCTGCTGGGCCTTTCAATTACAATTTTAGTGTTTATTTCAAAAATGTTTGTCTGGATTAACATTTGTCACGTTTAATTTTCAAAATAATTTTGATGTTTATTCATATTACTTTTATGGCATTCAAATTTCCCAGAATTAGGTAATGTTTATGTTACATCTTTTAGATTATTTTCACAATTTGATCAGGAATTTGACAGTTATGGTTTTGAAACGAATTTTAGTTGATGGCAACATTAATCTTCCGTCCATTTTCATTTCGCAAACTTAAAAAAACGACGACGAAAAAGAAAAAGGCATTTCATTTTGTCGGTTAAAATATTTGCTTGTTGCTGGATAATGTGAGCTAACTACCATTTATGTTGTTTAGTTTTAATAAACATAGTTTTATCAAGAGGAACTGTTGAAAATACCTTGGTAACGGTAAGTTTCCTGACATTTGATTGGATTTGTTTGTAAAGTGAGAAAGTGACCGTTTGTCGGGCGTTCTCAGTCGGCTGAGATGCGATCCAATTTCACATCTCGATGTAAAACGGGCACAGCTATAAATGAACCGGCTCATAATTAACTATTTGTTCCGCAAAATTGGTCAGGTAGCCATGATCATATTGGAAAGCAAGTGTCGTTTGATCGGTTGAATCACCGTTTCTTACGTTCTAACGTATTTTGTGACTTGTTTAATTGGTCGTAGTTGTTCAGATTGAACACCTACACACTAAGAAAGTATAACAATGAGTCCTCGTTAGTTGGTGTTGAACTGCACATTGCATGTTGTATGAGTCAGTTAATATTCATTAATATTATAATTCTGCAGTGTGTAACATGGACATTGTTTACCATAGCATTGTTCTAAGGATATTGATAACTGCATAGCATCTAAAGTTTTGCATACAATCTCTGTTCAACCCTTATTTAGTATGAAACATGTATGACCTTGTTAGGGAAACTGCAATCTTGTACTAAAAGGTCAAATGCGATTTGTAAATTTATTCACATGTAATTGTATTCAGGGCTAACATGAATCCATTAAAGGCAACATGTTTACAACGGTCTCATACCCACATAAGGCATTTCTTATTTTTACCCTCATTTACCATAAAATGCATACAGTAATTGGCTACCGTTTAGGCTTATGACTTGGTTTCTAATCAAGATTTGTTGTGAAGTATAATCCTAATATAATCTCACAAAAAAAAATTACAAAAATGAATAAGTGACATTTTTGAAAATGGATCTTATTGCTTAAGGATTTGGTTTGCTAATTGGTGTGTAAACAAGAATCTTATTGCTGATTCTTAATATTCTACTAGTGGTCTTATAAATACTCAACTTACTGAAGTGAGACATGAATGTATTTGAGTCGAAAATGCAAGTTGTTATTTCCAAATCAATTTTCATATAAAACATGTACTATGATTTATCTAGGAGCATCATGAGTAAATTTTAATAAATTGATTGCTAGATGCAGTCTGTATGCCTGATCTCTATTGGTATAAAAACAATGATATAATACTGCTAATATTATTTCATACAGGGGCAGTGGCATGAACTCATTTTTTTGATACTATTAATGAAATCTCTCGACCTACTGTCAAAATCATAATTCACATGGCAAATAAATTATATTTTCCTACAAGTTACACTATCTTGCATAAAAATATTACTCTGGTAACTACAAACAATGTCTATTCGCCTGTAACCTTTTTGTCAACAGTTTTGAAATCAAAATTTGACCTGACATCACAAAATGGAGGATGAGAATGAATATAAGAAATTGCCGACAGATGAGAAATGTGTACACAAGCTATGGAAGGCTAGGGTCGCTGGTTATGAAGAAGCGATCAAGTTATTTAACCAGATTGATGATGAGAAGTCTCCGGAATGGAATAAATACTTAGGACTGATCAAGAAGTTTGTTACCGACAGCAATGCAGTGGCTCAAGAGAAAGGTATGTGCAAATTCGGTTTAAATCCTTCTTTCCAATCTTGGTGATTCATATGCCTTTTAAGTAGTGAGCAATTTAATTGTATTTCTTTTGAAAACAATGTGAATATTATCTCTTATCTTTAGAATTGGGATGTAGTGACATAGAAAGTTAATTTAAAAATGTTTTTAATGATTATTTGTAGAATGTGTCACATATCATGTTTTATCACATGGATACTCTGACATATTTGCTCTTAAGGAATGAGTATGTGTTTCCGAGTTAGACTGTATAATAAACAAAATGACTTCTGCCATAAATAAAAGCTAAAATTTTTTCTTTTATTTTAGTACAAGTTTAATTAGTATTTTAAGCAGTGGCAACAAACTTTTAGTTATAGTAATTCATAGCTTCAAATTAGTAATAAAATTTTTCTATATATACTAATCCATTCTTTAATGAATTAGACTATGAACATATTCAAAAATTAGTAAGAAGACTATCAGCATATCTATGCTAGCTCTCTAGCTTAGTGTATATAGCCGTCCACGATAAATGGACAATCCAACAAAAAAAGAATTGTTCAATTCAAATAAGTAGTTTAGTTCATTAAAACAAACAAACTATTATTTATAAAAATAATCATCAAATAAGTATAGATGATGTTTGTTATAATAGAATATCTTTCTCAAAGAGGTAAGGTTCCCTTTGTTGTAACCATATTGCTGCTAATAGCAAATATTATAAATAAAATAAAAAGGGGTCTGTTTTGATGTCCAATATTAATGAATTTATGTATCCATATATTTGAGTATAATTTTATATTTTTATTGCTAGATATATCTTTTACTAAAACTTGTTTATTTGTGTTATAAAAGCAATTTATATTCCTATAAACTTTTTATTGTAAAGACAAATAGTTATGTTAATGTTATTTTTCTAAAAATACCTGTTTTAATTTATTTTAAATACATTCTAGAACTTTGGTGGTTATGTAATAAATAGTCACAGTTTGAAAGAAACTTCACATTTACATTACCTGTATTTATTGATATCAATGCATCAGTAGTGCAATTTGTTTTATTCATCTTTTTTAATATATTTTTGAGGCTATCTGTCAATAAGTTATTGGTTGGTGTGAGTAAGTCATCATAGAAATCATAATAGCATTAAGTAAAGTGGTTTTCATAATTCCTTGGTAATTGCTCAGTTAAACTCAATTGAGGGTGTCTAGCTTAAAGAATTATTGCTTCCTGCAGCCATTACTGTCTTTCTATACTATTGTAGCCTATCTCTATATGGCTTCCTTGAATTATTTCAACGACATCACTTGCCATCGAAAAACTTTTGTTCCTAATATCATTTAATTGAAGTTATCATACCGATATTGTCGTGTTAGGAGGGATGAGAGAACAGTTTGTTAAGTTCCTTATCCTCCATTGAAAAGGGGGGAGTCCTCTGACCAGACTGGTATTCTGTCTGGTGGGTTACAGCTCGACGGTTGTTTTTGGGATTTTGTACCTGTTCCAATGGCGTTGAGAACTGTTATACTACTATGTAGAAAATTGAATGTTATTCGTGGTCTGTGTTGTGCGGTAGATGTCGCTACACACGTATCAACACCGTTTTTTCGCAGAATAAGGGACGACGGATATTTGATGAAGATCAGACTGTAGAATCCTTTAATAATCAGATAATCTCTTTAAACGCGGTCGTTGAACCATTAACTTCATCAATAATAATACAAAATATTTGTTCCGTCCGGCCATCGAACTCGTGTCATACAGTGCAGTAACTGATCGCTTGACCACGGTACCAACCATGCAGTCTGAACTTCTAATGCGATTTTTGTAAAATTAAGAAATATTCATAAGTGCAACGAATACAGTTACAGAAAGACAATAAAACTTTTAATGGATGGTAGGTACTAGAAAATTCTCCGAAATCGTTTTGTGTATTAAATGTAACGTCTTAAAATTAGTACCGTTTAAAATCGTTAACCCGTAGTCGCTCGGCGAGACCGATTCCGTAACAAAATTGAAGCAATTCGCAACTCTTCATATTAAACACAAAAGCCGTTTAACATAGGGGACCCAGTTTCGCATTGAAAAGAATATTTTGATACACAGTTTATCGCAAGTTCGTAACTAAGGCAATTACAATAATGGAAGTCTTCCTTTCTGAATATGGGGAAAAGATTGTAATACATATGAATCTTTTTATGAATTCTTTTTTAATATACCTGTTTTTGGAACATTCCAGCCAATTCGAGGACTAATAAATCAACTACTAACAACATTTGGCCTTTGTAAAGTATTACTTGCGATGTTAATTCTGATCATCGTTTTCTATATTTCTGAATGCCAATGTCCCTAAGTCGTTGACTCATCGTCTAGCCAGACTAAACAACCACTAGTCTATGGCTAACGTAATGGTCTCAAATTACTAGAAGGAAAGTTTCCTAGATTTCTTTCCGCCTATAATTGTTTGAATCACCCTTACTTCTACATATATATTACAAACTAGCGACCCGCCCCGATTTCGCACAGTTGCAACGCTGATACTAAATTTCTCTATTATTTAATGGATGTTAATATGCATTTGCATATAAATATCCCCTTCCATCACTCTATCTATGAGAAACAAAGATTTAAGCATACATAGGGATACAGGGATATAGAGAGCGACTTTGTTTTATACTATGTAGTGATGAAATAAGAAAGGTTGGCTATGAAAAAAATTTAAGCAAAATTGTCCTCTAGCTGATATATTACATAGGGTATTTTTTCTGGTACCGCTGGCCAACTTAGCAAGGAAGTTCAATGCACTTGTTACCTCGATTCTATCTAAAATGTAATTAGGAACAGTGCTTAATCAAGCAAATTTTTTATGATTCTTATTTCTTTGTCTTTGTTTCTTACGCTATTCGTTCTCAGACCTAGTTTAAGATCATAATCGAGGTGACTTACTAGTCGGTCGAACTCGATTATACTATTGTTACTTTCTAATAATTGATTTATGTCCATAAGTATTACATTTCACGCAAGTCACTCCAAGAATTTTGTCGACTATATTAACTTGTGAATCGACTTTCTAGTTATCCATAAAAGGTCGTTACTATTGTAATCATCTTTAAATCGGTGTTTAGCATTCAGCAAATGACTCATTTTAAATTCGCTATTTTTAATCCAATTCAATGTGTCTCCGTTTGCTACGATTTGAGTAATTATTGCAGGGTTTCCTTTGTCTTGTCACATGTTTAATCACATGCGAAGTTCAGCATTGTTGTATGGTATCGTCACGTGATATTACCAAACGTGTGGGACATAAGTAAATAATAAAGATGAATAAAGTTTATACTAAATCAAAACAGCACTCCTTTTATAAATTGCTGACATTGTTGATAAAAAAAATCAAGCTGAATTCTTACTTATATGAAGGTGTAAGAAACTTAAACGTCTGCAAAACAAGGAAAAAATAACCATATAATCTAGTTATTTTCGCAAACGGACACTGTGTAACGGTGCACGCAATTATGCACTTTAATGTTTTGCGTTGTTGGCGATCACCTCGTATCTCTGTTATTGGCTGACAGTATCAAAATTCGGTCAGAGACGACTGAATATGCGTTGCATATTACTCACACATTATTATATTTGTGTAAGACATATTGTAAAGAAAAAAATTACAGTTTTTATGATTATTCCTTCAATGGAGACGGACAATAAATGATCAACAAAGTGTTATTAATTTTATGATTAATCAAGAACCACTGCATATTAATTTAACAACAGATAGTAACATACAGCCCCTTACTAATTCAACGAATATTGGCAAAATAGATATCAGGCAAAGACAATAATAACTTAGAGACTAAATTCAGTAAAGAGCAATGAAATTATTCAAAAAAAGAATTATATACATTTTTGAAGTTAAAAAAATCTTCTCACAAGTTCGTTCTCATTTAATTTTGATAACAGAACTACCGATCAATGTTAATGTTGTTATTATTCCATTGTTTGTGCGTTACCGTCGACACATTAGGTACATGTAATGGGGCATCGACCGATAAATATTTTCACGGAAACCCTTCAGACACGCGATTTAACTTCTAAGTATTACAAAGGGCTAAAGTTGAACTAAAATCTATTGTTGAGATGGATTTCAATTGAATTAATTATTGAACTCTATAATTAAGGATCAAATGACAGAGGGCGCCCTTGAAGGGTTGAGTCTGTTGAACGCTGACCTCATAGGTGAAGTCCTTTATGAAGGTTATTTGTTGAAATACTTAAAATGAGAAACCATACTAATTGTGATTTCGGCGATATTTACCTATTATACGTTTTTTAGGGCGACTTTTAGAGTATATTGTTGATATGTTTTATGCATTAATAAAATATACAAACTAGACTATTAACGATAATTAACATATTGCCAGTGAGAACTACAGTGAGACTACAATTCCATACGTTTTACAGGATCCGAATTTTAAGAAAGACAATTGATTAAACTACTACTTTGTTAAAATAGTCTTATTAAAAATACGTCTTTAAATTTTGATACTTATTTTTACACGTAATTTATGTGTTTTATAAATTTTATCTAAGGTTTGGAAGCTGCGCTGGTGTTTGTGGAGAACTGCGGACATGCCGGCAAAACGACCGGCGAGGTGATGTCTGGCATCGTCGCCAAGTGTATCGCAGCGCCTAGGACTAAATCTAAGGACCTTGCACTACAGGTTAGCGAATATATTATATTTATAATAATAATATATTAATTACTCGAAGTCAAACTTTTTATATGTCATTGTTCGGCCTAGCATTACCTGGTGGTAAGCCTCGCCACCGAAACTCGTAATACCAAACGTTGCCGGCCTCTTGTAGGTTATTAGGGATTTGAGGATTGAGTAGAAAGTCTTGGACCTCCGATAACCTCACTCACACGGCAAAACACAACGTAAGTGTGGCTTCACGCCCGTTTTCTCTGGGGCCGTGGTATTACTCCGGTAAAGCCGGCCCATTCGTACCAAAGCATGGCTGTCACACATACTTCAAAGTGTACATTAATACGTACACTTTCAAATTAAAAAAATGTAATAATACCTTTTCTGACTTGAGAATAAAGTCTAAATTAGTTCTACTATCCAAATAACGTAGGTCACATAGCTTGGTACATGAATGCCTACTAAAATGAGAATGTAGTCGATACCAATGACCTCATTAGTCTCTCACTACCAAAGTAGATTCTCCTCATAAGTAGCGCGTCCAAGACTGCATTCTGATTGTGTTAACAGCTGCGTTTAATGATACCCAGTTACGGTCGAAGGTCTTCGGTATCGAATCAATTGAACGGTTTGCCGACACCAGATATCAGTGTAATAATAATGTTCATCTTATCTTCTTATCATGGCCAATCATACAAAATTGGTTTTGCCATAATGTCTCGTTAGTCGAGCTATTGCTATCTCGCTCTATGAGAAAAGTATTGGGTTTGGTTCTCGTGTTAGGAAAAACGTTATATAGATGTTCTTATTGTAAAAATTAAAGCTTGTATATCATCTGCTTTTCGAGGGGGGAAATCAATCATCTAATAACTTCTTTTGCCTTCTTTGGGGCCAGAGGGAGTTTCACTCAGTTTCAGACTCTTACTGATGCTCCTTCTCCTACTCCAAGCTGTGACCGTAGTTCATTATTGTACTTGCAACTCCAAAAAACCTAGAGTTTTGTCTGTAAAACCTAATTTTTTTAAATGTTGGCAAACGAGTAGACGGATTACCTGATGGTAAGCAATCAGCGCCGCCTATGGACACTCGCAACGGAGGGGTTACGAGTGCGTTGCCGACCTTTTAGGGATTAGGGATTTGGAGATTTAGGGATTGGAGGAGGGGAAGGATTGGGCCTCCGGTAACCTCACTCACACGGTGAAACACAGCGCTGTGGTTGTTTCACGTGGGTTTTTTGTGAGACCGTGGTATCACTCCGGTCGAGCCGACCCATTCGTGCCGAACCATGGCTCTCCTACACTTAAACTTACATTTGGTAGACCTTTTATTCAAAAGGCACGATGTCTACAAAAACCTTTAAAGATATTGGATTTGTCGTAATTAAACAAAGCCAAAACCCACTAGGTCATACCTGGATGGGTCACCCATCTATAACAAGAAATGTATCACCACAACACTTATTGTTTTTCATAATAATTCCTTTATTAATACTGTGGTTTTCTTAACCTACTTCCAGTTCAGTATATACAATATCTAGGTCAGTTTTTAAAATGAATAATTGAATGGTTCAATGCCCTATAGTTAAATGAGGAATGTTTTTAAAACAATACCAATGAACCTGGGTTCATTTTCCTTATGAATCTTACTAATATCATAAATGCAAAAGTTACGATGTTTGGATGTTTGTTACTTAATCACGCCAAAACGACTGGATGGATCTGGATGAAATGTGGCACAGGCATAGGATACAATCTGGAATAGGACATGAGTTACTTTTTATCAACATACCATGCGAGCGAAGCCGCGGGCGGAAGCTAGTTTGTTCAGTTTGATGAATAATTGTGATATGCAAAAGTAAAGACGAAGTCTCGAAGTCTGGAAATTTGAGACCAATGGACACAATTTTTATAAATAATAATAAATATTGCTATATTATAAAAATAGTTTAGTAACAAAAGCTTTAGATTTACACCCGGCCGATCAATGTTAAAATCAATTTAATCTCTTGTCAAGTCATCAACCGGGTGTTAGTCTAAAAACCTGTCGTTTTATTGACTAAAAAGCCAGTAAAGCTTAAAGCTATTGAAAACATTTTCAAGGCACATTACCTAACATATAGTTTTTCTGTAGGTTAATAAGGTTGTTTTTTGTATGATGTCTTGTCCAATATTTAATAGACAGAAAGATATAACAAGATAAAAGAACATCGATGTTTTACATCTGGCATAACATAACAAATAAACAAACACATTGATCAAACTGGGATACTTATGGCTAAAAAATTCTTTTACAGATAACCCTAATGTATGTAGAGATAGAAAAACATGAAATAGTGGAAGAAGAATTGATCAAAGGTATGGAACAGAAGAACCCCAAAGTGGTGGCAGCATGCGTATCAGCTTTACATACAGCATTGAAACAGTTTGGCAACAAAGTGATAGCCATCAAACCTATGGTGAAAAAGATTCCCATACTACTATCAGACAGAGACAAGGGTGTTCGAGATGAAATGAAGGCACTCGTTATTGAAATGCACAGGTAATTTGAACTTTAGCTTTATTGAAATTAGGTATAAAATTGTTTACTGCTCTGATCAGACAAGAAATGGTGTAAACTATTTCTAAGGTGTTGTAAACCATTTGTTGTCTTTGCCATGCAAGTTTGTTATGGCCTGTTTAAAAGGCTATTTTATAACAAAGAAATTTTTGACCGAATCTCATTGAGGTAGCAAACATGCAAAGAACAGAAACGTTTATAAGCATACCAAATAACTATTTACATTTTTTCTTCAGGTGGATAGGAGCCGCCATAGAGCCCCACATAGCGTCCCTGCAAGCTGTGATACAGCAGGAGCTGAGAGAATCGTTCAGTGGGGGCGGTGGCGGCGCACAGCCTACGCGGTACCTCAGGTCTCAGCAGAACAGGGTCCGGGATGCTCCTGCTGCTGATTGTGCTGATGGTAAGTAACCGATAATTGTTGATTTCCTACTGCCGTGCTGTTATGCACATCGATTGTTATTAATAATCATATAAAACCGGCGTAAAGTAACACTTACAAGGTAAGGTGGGTACTGAGGTTACCGGAATCTTCAACCTTCAAATCCCTAATAAACCACAAAAGATGAGCAACGTACTTGTAGTATCTCCTTTGGCATAACGATTATCTATGGGCGACGCTGCTTGCTTACCACCAAGTAATCCGTGAGCACGTTTGGCAACCGATGATATAAAAAAAACATAAATGGATCATCCTTAAGTGGGGCAGTGATTACGCATATTGACGTGATCAAACATACAAAAGTGTTCGGTTTTGTATAGATTGAGTTAGCTTTCTTCGCATTTTATTTGAACGTTACTACCGTTTTTCAACAACAACTTATCATAAAATCTCCTTAACTCTAGGAGCGGCTGAAGACGACGACGCTGAAACTGGCGGCGGAGACTCAGGGGATATGGACCCTTACGATTTACTAGACCCAGTGGAGATCCTATCCAAACTACCGAAAGACTTCTACGACAAACTGGAAGCCAAGAAATGGCAGGAAAGGAAGGAAGCTTTGGATGCTTTGGAGAATCTTCTCAAATCAGCCCCGAAACTAGAACCTGGAGATTACGCTGATTTAGTCAGAGCTTTGAAAAAGGTAACCTTTTTTCTATTTTGTAACTAAGGCATGTATGTGTTGCAAAATAAATAATATTGTTATTGTTAAAGTATGCAGATGTGCAGTATTGAAATTATATACTAACTTATTTTCATCTATCTACCTTCCAAAAAGGAACTGTTTTGCTTTTCGATCAAGACCAGTATGCTCTGTAATGTGTCCCATCAACATTGAAACTTAAAGCTTTACATAAAACATAAGTAGAACATATCTATTTCGATTTTTCCAGGTGATATCAAAGGATACAAATGTAATGCTGGTCGCGTTAGGCGGTCGTCTCCTCGGCATGGTCGCGTCAGGTCTTCGCAACAAATTCTCACCATACGCCTGTGCGTGTGTGCAAGCCATACTCGAAAAGTTTAAGGAGAAGAAAACTAATGTCGTCACTGCCCTCAGAGAAGCTATAGATGCTATATATCCTTGTGTAAGTGAATTTGTATTTACAGTTGATATGAGTACATTTCCGTTAATATAAATGATTAATGATTAATTTATTAGCAAATAATTCTTTTGATTCTTTTGATATAATAACTATCTAGAGACCTTCTGAATAATTGTTGGTTATTAAAAAATGAAATGTTTTACTCAAGTAAAATGTATGTACATGAGACCCAGTGTAATTTGAAATTAGTCGACCGTTTCTCTTTTGGTTCACGTGACTAATCGTGCATTTAAATTACAATTACATCAAACAAACTTGGATATCGCCATTATTGACCTACCAGTATTAATATTATAAATAATATATTTTTTACTTTTCCAGACAAATCTTGAAGCCATAATGGAGGACATGCTAGCAGCTTTCGACAATAAGAATCCGTCAATCAAAGCGGAAAGTTCCCTCTTTTTAGCCAGAGCTCTGTGCCATACTCAGCCCGCTGCCTTCAACAAGAAACTCATCAAGGCATATGTTGCTGGCTTACTAAAGTTGTTGGAGAGTGCAGGTAAGGACATAACTAGAATTTTTCTTCTGTAAACAGTACCAGAGTTTATGAATTTTGTAAAGATGTATAAAGATTTTGTTTGTGAGGACAGAAGAAACAAATATTATCTTTGTACCTATGTTAAAAAACATACTTGAAATCAGATGCTTGTGTGAAAGGAGTAGACAGAGATTAATGCCATTTATTATAATCCTTATGAATCCTATACTGGTTGCAAACTGACACTTGCGTGCCTGTCTTCAGAACGGGTCCACTTAAACTGGTGTGGTTCTTTCCTCAAAAGACCACTACAGAATGAACTTGCACGATTCTCTCACATTATGTTGTTTTTACATTGTCTGGACTTGAAAAGAGACTGACCTCTGAGTTTGTTTCGGCATTTCTTCTCAGAGTAGTCAGATAGGAAATGCCGGCTTCATCTAGTTTTTCACATATAAATTGACGTGTAAAAGTGCCGTTTTATGGCCTATTTGCAAAAATAAATTCATTGTTTCATTGTTTCATTGAATCATATTCATTCATGCAAAGCAGCATGTTTTTATGTAATTACGTCTAAGTGATAAAAACCTCAAAATAATCGATACATTAGAACTTTAAGGACCTCCAGCCTAAAAAAAGGTATATTTAGTTGCTATGTTTTAATATTATTCTTAAGTAATCAATTCTCTTTATAGATCCCTCAGTACGAGACGCGGCAGCTGAAGCTTTAGGTACAGCAACGAAACTAGTAGGAGAGAAGAACATAGCACCTCATATTGGCAAACTAGAACCCTTGAAAGAACAGAAGATCAAGGAGTTTGCGGACAAGGTAACAATCCTGGTTAGTGGAAACTTGTGCAATGATGAGGTTGTAGTACTAGAAACTCGTATAATAGTACTTGTGAGACCCTCTCATTGCTACATGGATGCAAGTGGATGTACATGGTCATTTTAAATTCACTGACAAATGTGTGGAACTGCTGATCTATTTTTACTATAATGCTTGTAGATATTTTTTTTTAAAGTGCTCCACACTTAAATGGATTTTTAGTTTTACGATATTAGTCGGGGTTGCGAGTGCAAGCGCAAAAATGTACCGAGGCTTCGGTCCAGAGCAGGAGAAGGAAAGGGGTGGTTTTTGTCAGTAAAAGTTAAGTTGTCGTCAGTTAATGATTTTCCCACCTTTAAAAAATCTACGATAAATCTAAATACCACTATGCATCTATGTCTTTAATCTTGTTTGTGTATTTTTAATAACATTAGCACCTATTTCATTTTAATTTTGAACTGAAACTGCGACCTATTTTTATTTTATAGGCTGTGATACAAGTCAAAGTAGCCGCTCCGAAGAAGGAAGCAAAGAAGCCAACGCCATCGCCATCTGCCAGGGGCGATTCTAAACCTACCGCCGGTTCTTCACAACCGAAACCAGTTAGACGACCTAACTCAGGTAAGCCATGTCATAGCATCAATAAAAAAAAGATTTGTAAATTACTAGCTAATATAAGTAACATTGTCGTTATCTATTTTTCGAACTTACAAATTTTACCTCTTTCTAATATTAGTATAGAAAAATAACCTTGCGTCCCTGTTTGCCCTGTGTTTTCCGCATTCCCCAATCTGCCGGCCATTCACTTTCCTGTGTGGCCCGATTGCTTACCATCAAGTGATTAGATCAGAAAATAAACAATATTCATTATTTTTTCAGCAAAACCCCCAGCGAAGAAGGCTCCTGCGTCCCGCGGACCACCCACCCCACCGCGGGAACAGGAGTTATCCCAGGAGGAAGTTGATGCTAAGGCTGAGATGCTCTTCCCTGCTGATGTAATATCAGGTAAAGCATTTGCAACATATTGGTATATCGAAACTCCGAAAATTAGTCAAAAATGTGTACTTGGATGGAACTTGATAAACTTGTTAGTTGTGTTGTCGCGAGCTGACAAGGGCGGATGCCGAGTCTTGAATATTTTTTTTAATTTAATCCTTAAATGCAATATGGTTGTTGGTCCAGAACTTTACAACAGTAGTTCCCATATGGTTTTAAGTGTCCACTCGGGTCGACGACTTTCTCGGTTATCTAGGGTCTAGATCTAGAGCTCTAAAAGTGGATCTCTATTTGAACTTCTACTCTTATCGTCATCAGTCTGTTCCATCGATAGCTGGTCGTAGGTCTCTCTACTTTTGAAAAAAAGTAGAAGAAATAGAATTTCATCAAAAAATTAAGTTATAATTATAATAATAAAGGAATCTTAGTAGTTTCTTTCTTGATATTAACTCGACAGTAAAATATATCCGTCATTCGCAGGTCTTGGCGACAGCAACTGGAAGACTCGTTTATCAGCAGTCCAGAGTTTCCATAGTACAGTACAAGGGTTAACCTCAAGCGATGCGACCTCACAAGTGTTGTACCGCACGCTGAACAAGAAGCCTGGCCTGAAAGACACCAATGTACAAGTGCTGAAAGCCAGGGTCGAAGCTTGCAAATACATCACTGAGAACTTCCCTGTTTCCACGTAAGTTAAGACTTAATTTCTATGTACCTTTTGTAACCAGACATCTTAGAACAACAGTGATTTATATTGAGATAAGGTGGAGGTAGTGTAAGTGATTTAAGAGGAGGCTTCAATTCTTTTCTTTTTATCCCTAATGCGACAGATAACACCATAAACAAAAACTAAGATTAAAATAAACTTTAACCACACTATTAAACAAAGTTACAAAGTACATACAACTCGGGAAATGGTATACATTGGTACTTGCCAGATCGAGAACCAGCTACCTTATGGATTAGAAGCGAGCGCCTCAACCTTCGCGTTACAACGACACGATGTCCCCAGTATTATGAGTTTTACTTGTTTCACCAAAAAACAATAAACTAAAACCATCCTTTCTTTAATTTTACAGGACAGCAGCGGACTTTGTACTCCAAGATGTAGTCACCAAATTAGGAGAAGCGTCGTGTGCATCGATTTGTGCTGACTGCCTTACCTCTTTGGCCGAGGCGTGTGGTTTAGAACATGTCCTCAATGAGGGACTGACTTACGCTATGGACTCACAGAAAAACCCTAAAGTACAATCGGAAATGTTCAACTGGATGGCCAATGCTATCAAGGAGTTTGGGTTTAAGTAAGTTGTTTTTATATAAATACTAGCGACCGTAAAGTGGTCATATTAAACTACTGTTTAATGGATATTTTTATACATAAATTCTTCAATCACTCTAATCTATAAGAAAACGGTTTTAAAATCCGTTGCGTAGTTTAAAAGATTTAAGCACACATAGGAATACAAGGACTAGGAAATTGACTTCGTTTTATACTACGTAGTGATGATCGTTAATTATCATTGTAAATGATCAATGTTTCGTTACCCAGGTAGTCTAAAGTTGCCAGTGAGAGATTGCTGATTTGATCTGCGAGACTTGTCTCTATAATTTGTTTATAACATTATTTCATATTCTAACTTTGACCAAAATGTTCACTGGTAGAGAATGAGACAGTTCAGCTTGTATTGCTACAATTATTGTTTGTACAATAAAGATAAGTTTAAGTAATGGGACCATTACACTACCTAGTTCTGCTCTTAACTATCATTCGATAGTCAACCTTAATGTAAAAATGTAAGTACCATAATAACTTTATTTGTTACAGCATGAACATCAAATCAATCATAGCTCACTGCAAGAAGGCTCTAACGGCCACAAACCCCAATGTTCGTACATCTGCGGTGAACTTCCTCGGTATACTGTCACTTTATGTGGGACCTTCCCTGATCAACCACTTTGACAGTGAGAAACCAGCTACTAAGCAGCTCATCAGTTTGGAGCTAGACAAACATGCTAATAGCACTCCTCCTACACCCACAAGACAGATGGGAACTGTTAGCAAGGTGAGAAATGTATAATTTATATATAAATGTTATGAATCAAAATTATTGATATAGCTCTTATGGCCTATGAAATAAGGTATGTACAGTTTGCAAAGTTATTTGGTATGCAGGTACAAAAATAAATATTGTGAGCCAACGAAAAAAACAAAAGACACCACCCCTTTAAAAAACCTACAATTTAGTATAACCATTTAGACTATTTCCGCATATAAAATAAATATATTCTACATATCAAATAACTTTGCAGACTGTGCAAAGAACATGTTAATATCATTGATGCTTGAAGGGTTAAAGCACTATTGGTCTAATATCCATTTTTGTTTAGCACCTAGTCTTTTAATACTAAGTTAATTAGCCAGCAGTAGCTTGTCTAGCTGACTAGCCTAAGCAGTATCACATTATTTAAGTATATGTTTATTACTCCAGTCTGCAAGCAAAGCCTCAGTGAACGACATAGAGGAAGCGTTTGAGGACGCCACGGAGGACGAGCCCGCCGTAGTGGAGGACAACAGACCACGCACTGACATCGCGCCGCTCATCACTGAAGCACTCATTGCTGAGATCAATGACAAAAACTGGAAGGTAAGCCTGCCAAAATGTTTAGTAATAGTAGTAGTAACTTTGATAAACTTTTGCTAAAATAATTTTATATAGAAATTATGTGCATTATTTATTACATTTAACAAGCAAACTATTTTGTTATTTTTTGGCTATTTGGGATATTATATCCTCTGTTTTATGTCATTATCCTCTAAAGATATATAAACCTTGCTAAGCTTGTGAAGTCGCTAGCAAAGGCTTACACCGACCATACCTAGTGTATCCAAATTCGTATTTTCATTAATAATGTTAATCATACCGATTTGTTTATATTCTAATAGGTCCGTAACGAAGCTCTGGATAAAGTGAAGGCTATAATAACAAATTCGTCGCCCATCAAACCGTCTCTAGGCGAATTGCCTGCGGCGTTGTCAGCGCGTCTGTTAGACTCCAACTCGAAACTCGCACAGAGTGCTCTGCAGATCTGTGAGGCTTTAGCTTCTGCAATGGGGGTCAAATGTAAATCACACGTCCGGACTTTCTTCCCTGCATTTTTCCAAGGTAAGATATCAAATATAAAATAGGTTTAAAAAAAACAATCATACATAGTAACCATTATAAATACCACTGGATATTATTGGCCAATATTTCGGAAATTCCAATCAAACACTCATACTATTACATTTATTGTTCTCTTTTTATTTAAAACATGTAATTCCTTCTAAACAAATATCTACTTTTTCAATTGGAACACTCACAAACCCAGAAATTGGAATAATCTATGCTTTTCGCAAATTTTTAAACTTCTCTAAACTAAAATTTAAAAGCCAAATAAAATAATTTTATTTTCTCAGCTTTCGGTGACAGCAAGCAATGGATCCGCGCGGCGGCAGTATCATGCGTTGAGACCTGGTGTCGTGAGGCGGGTGCACAGTGCCCCTTGGAGGGGGAGATGCTGTACGATGCACTCAAGTCTGGTAGTCCTCTGCTCAGGGCTACTTTACTGCAATGGCTGGCAGAACATTTGCCTAATGGTATGTTTACTATAAGTGGTAAAAAATTTGGATACAATGCGTTCTATCTAAAAAGTGAGGTATACCAACAGTAAAATTGGGACAGATATAAAATATTATGTTTCAAATTACTAAAGAATCTTGGCAAATAAATAAAATATCTATGTAGGCTTGATTGCGGGGCAATAGAATAAGTTATCTCGGCCTGGAGCAGGCGAAGAAACAGTAGGGAATTTGGTCAATTACCGTCGGATCGGACTTTCTCTCTCATCTCACCCTGAGGGAAAAAAGTTAGTTGATCATTATTCCCTCACAAAAAAGACTTGATGTATGTATATTATTTTAATGATAATAATTTTCAAACCTCAATATATGATACTCAAAAAGAGGTATAAGAGAAGTGAAGTATGATACGAGAATCGTGCCATTTGACGTTTTATTCCTTCTGCTGCTTTAATAGACGAAGTGGCAATGAGTTTCTAAGATTAATCTTCTAATTTCCTGTTTATTTTATTCCAGTTCCACCAAAATCGTTCCCCCGCGAAGAGCTAACAGTATGCGTGCCAATACTCTACGCGTGCCTCGAGGACCGCGCAGCCGACGTGCGTAAGGTGACCGGGGACTGCGTACTGCCCTTCATGTTGCATCTAGGGTACGAAGCCATGCACAAACAGTTGGATAAGTTAAAGGTATGAACATATAACAGTATCTAGACATAGAAAACTTTTTTGTGAGATAATTATTATTGAAAATAATTATTGATAAAAATTCATTGAAAATACCGAGTTAGGTTAGGGTTAACTGAGAAGATTAATTCAGATTTTCATTAATTGAAAATAAGAATTTTAAAAAAAAATTGGCTTTCATAATCGTGGGGGGGCGTCGGCGATTTGAATTAGGAATGTAGCGTTATAAAAAGCTACTTTAGGAAAAAAGTATTTAGTTTTAATATGGAAATAAACATTGTTTATATTACTATCTACACAGAGAAATATAAGTATTTTGTTTTATCTGGCTATAAACTTATTCATTTTTCCTCTTTCTAGCCTGGCTCCAAAACAGTAGTACAGGCAGCTTTAGACAAGGCTCGACCGAGCTTGCCAGTACAGCCACTACCGCCATCTAAGGGCAAGAAAGAGGAACAACGCGGCGTCAAATCCGCCGGGGCACTCAAGAAGGAAGCCGAGAAGAAAGGCACTGCTGTTAAGGGCAAGGTAAGACCAAAATGAAACTCCTTAAGTATGATAATTGATAAAATTACCAATGTAACTCGTTCAAAATCGTTCAAAATTAAGGCTAGTGTCGTGGTGGCCTGGAGAGTGTCGTGGTGGCCTGGAGGTTAAGGAGCCCGCTTCTCATGCATGAGAGTGTGGGTTCGAAACCTGGCAAGTACCAATGTGACTTTTTCCGAGTTATATGTACTTTCTATGATTATTTAGACACCACTGACATACGGTGAAGGTAAACATCGTGAGGAAACCTGGACTTATAATTTCTAATTGTAAGTTTGAAATCGCCAACCCGCATTGAGCAAGCGTGGTGATTAATGCTCAAACCTTCTCCGTGTGAGAAGAGGCCTTTGCTCAGCAGTGGGCACTTATAGGCTGATGATGATGACCAATGTAACTTTAAAGTGTGGGTGAGCCATGCTTCGGCACGAATGCGTCGACTCGACCGGCGTGAAACAACCACAGTTGTGTTTCGCCGTGTAAGTGAGGTTACCGGAGACCCCATCCTTCTCCTCCCCCAATCCCTAAATCTCTAATCCATAATGCTTAAAAGGTCGGCAAACGCACTCGTAAACCCTCATTTGTTGCGGGTGACATCTTGAATTACTAAGGTAGAAATTAATTTTTCATTACTTTTCTGAATAGCCATTTTTCTTGCAGGGACCAGTAAAATCCGCATCAGCATCAGGTCGCGGCAAGAAAGATGACGAGGATTGCTCGCCCCTCCTACCGAATAACAACGCTAAGAACCAACGCATCATTGATGACCAAAAACTCAAAGGTTAGACGAAACAGCAAAACCTCCTTTTAGTTTTTCATTCATTCTTCGTTCTAAAGTATAATTTGCTTCATACAAAATACGTTTTTTCTGCGTGCAATTGGATTGGTGATTGTGTGGGTGATGTAACATCGTGTAAGATATGTTAAGGTATTTTATATAAATAATAATAATTAATTTTTTTGTTTGTGTGTGTATGGATGTGTTTATTTTGCAGTAAGATTAGAAAGCTTTGAATGGTAGGGTTGGAACTTGCCGGGGTTGCGGGGTAAGCGCAATAAGGTACCGCTACCTCGGCACAGAGCAGGAGAAGGAACAGGGGGGTTTTTAGTCAGTAAGAGTCTGACACTCCCTCCTGCCCGGCCCTGGGCGGGAGAAGTCATTTGATGATTTTCCCCTCACAAAAAAAAAAAAAAAAAAAAAAGGGTTGGAACTTGGAATTGAGAGTTTGTCAAATATGACGTTCAGGGGTGATGTTTACAATACATTAAGGGCTAATTTTTCAACAGTCAGATAAAAGTTATATGAAGAATAAAATTGTTGTTGTCACTGTCTTATACAAGCTTTATGACGCGACAGCATCATAATTATTCCCCAGATAACTTTTATCTAACCATTGAAAAATTAGCCCTTTATATGTTAAATAGACAGAATATTTGGTTTGTTTCGAAGCTATCACAGCTGAAATACTAGCTTAGTCAATCAATGAAATGTTTGGTTTGACTTGAAAGGTAGATTGTTTGGGTTTCATGCATGTATGGTTTGTGTGTGTGTGTATTTGATCGATAAAATATAGATTCAGCACGAAAATAAGGTATTATTGAAGTTAAATAAATTAAAATTGTGTGCTATTTACAGTATTGAAATGGAACTTCACAACTCCCCGTGAGGAGTTCTTCGAACTTCTAAAGGAGCAGATGGCTACCGCTGGATTGAACAAGCAATTAGTTGCTAATATGTTCCATAATGACTTCAGGTTTGTAAGACAAGTACTGTATTGCTTTACATGGGTAATTAAATTAGAACATAACTTGATTTTAACTGCGTGGCTATCACTGTAATTGGGTGATTAATTGCTATGAGTTGAGTTTGGTTCCACCCTAATGATGAAACTATGCATAGGATATATAAAATATGATTCTGTGGCACATGATGCCAGGAATAGGAATCTAAAATTGAGACATAGCGTTGGTAGGCCTCCCGCTAGGTGGACCGACGACATCGTCAGTCGCGGGGAACCAATGCATGCAGGTGGCGTGTCAGTTGTCATTCGTTCAAAATTAAAGCTTAAAGGGGAGGTTTTTGTTTCAACAGTGAACATTTGATGATGACGATGATAAGACATAGATTCCGTATTGCATCATATGCTGCCTGGTAAATTATAAGAAATAACTTCAATCTAATTTTTACCATCTATCCACAGATACCACTTGAAAGCAATAGAGGCCTTATCAGAAGACTTACACGAGAATGGTCAAGCGTTAATGGCGAATCTGGATCTGGTCCTCAAATGGTTGACCCTCAGGTTCTTCGACACAAACCCGTCTGTCATCCTCAAGGGTTTGGAGTACTTGTCCATTGTCTTCACCTATCTAATGGACAGTGATTACACCATGCCGGAATATGAAGCGAACTGTTTCATACCTTATCTAGTATTGAAGGTAAGATATAATTAAATACGGTTTTGTTTACTAATTCATCAAACCCCAAGCGAACGCCGTTATTGGGGAACCTATTGTACTTCTATTGTGTCTCGAATTACCGCGATTAAAAGGTTAAAACAATATAATAGCCAAGTGCCGACAAAGATCCTCATTTTGCGAGATGATTAAAGTAATAAGATTTTTGGTATTTAGCTAAATATGAAAAATAACCTGAAACTGTCCTAATTGGGCTTTGAGGACTACCAACCACCTATACTAACAGTATCACTCAATAAGAACTTCAGAATATCTAAACCAATCTAAGAGTAGTTCTTATAAAACGATTACAAGAATAATTGTTTCTATAATAACACTAGATAATAGAGATAAATTAGCAATTGAAATACTCAACAATCCATACACGCGACTACCTACTGCTGCCAAATAAAAATCTACTCTATTTCCATTATTTAAAATTGTTATTTATTGTATCAACAGGTCGGTGATCCCAAGGATACGGTGCGCAACGGCGTTAAGGCTCTGTTCAAGCAGATATGCGTGGTGTATTCAGTTACCAAGTTGTTTGGATATTTGATGGAAGGACTCAAATCTAAGAACGCGAGGCAGAGAGCTGGTTAGTTGAATTACGTTATCTATATATATATATTATGCAGTTAATTATCGATATGGTTAGATCAGTCAATATCTGATATGGAAAGGAAGGAAAATAGTTACGCTGAACAGTTGAAAATAACCTTTAGTTTTCACGTGAGAGGACGCCTCAACAGCATAGTGCGTGATATTAAAGTTTTATTTGGCCGTAATTTTACTTGGCAAGTACCAATGTAACTTTTTCCTAAACACGGACTTTCAATGATTTACACCCGGTTTCCGAAAGACCGATCAATGTTAAAATCAATTTAATCTCTTGTCAAGTCATCTGATTGGTTACTGAATTATCAACAACCTATCAGATGACTTGACAAGAGATTTAACAGGAGATTAGTTAATTTTAGCATTGACAAGCCTTTCAGAAACCGGGTGTTATTTAGACACCACTGACATACGGTGACGGGAGGCAACAAAACAACAACAAACTTGGACTAAATAGTTTGAAATTTCCAATCCAAATTAAGCAATTGTGTTGATTAATGCTCAAACCCCTACGTGTGAAAAGATGCCTTTGCTCAGCAGTGGGATGTGATGTGTTTACAGCGGCTTGACAGCACAAAATCGCTTTAAACTGCAGTTTAAAGCGATTTTGTGCTGTTTTTCTATCTCTGTTAAATGGCGTTGGACTAGTGTTACCCCGCCCTCGCTTAGTCGGAGTTTATTCACTACATTATAAAAGAACATTTATTCGGGCTACAAATCAGCATATAAGTACAATGGGTATGTTATAAGTGTCAAACACCATTCTAACAAAAATCTTTCACAGAATGTTTAGAGTGCATCGGTCATTTACTGGAAACCTACGGGTCGACGGTGATGGGCAGTGGTGGTAGCGGGGCTCTGAAAGAGTTGGCACGCCATATTGGAGATAGAGATAACGCAGTCAGGTCCGCGGCACTCAATTGTGTCGCTTCAGCTTACTTCTTGGAGGGAGAGAAGGTTTATAAGATGATTGGTCAGGTAAGAACTAGTTTTCTTTTCTCTCGAGATTTTTGAAATAGACAGAGGGGTTCTTCCTCATGAGCCTACTGTAGTCAGTAGGCTGCGCGACGTCGCCGTGTCCGCGCACGCTGCTCGTGAGGTAGAACCCCTCTGTGGTTCGAAACTAGTAGAGCTTTTCTCAAAACAAACGTGAGTAACCCGCGATTTTTAGTTAATTTAGTATGTCTCACGATAGTTATTATAAAAATATGTTTTTCAAGCTAAACAAACAAATATAATTGATCAATTTAGGTAATATCGCATAGGTAAAAGCCATAAGTAGTACTTTATACAAAGATGAGGGAATGTGCCCAGTAATCCATTAATATCAATACTCTTAAGTCAAATAAAATTACATGTTATGTAACCTTGTTATCATGTAGTTGACTAGTCTCAGTTGGTTTGGTAACTGGGCTTCTGTCAGTTGTACAGTCTCTTCTGTGCTTTTTAGACTTATTTCAGTTAGTCTCCTGCATTAAAGTTGCCGAGGGAAGCGGAAACTATTTAGTTTTTTCTTCCTCTCAAATAATATCTTCTGATCCTCCCAAAACCCTTACGTTGCAGCAGGGTTTTGGGAGGCTGCGTCAGGCTTGTCCTATAAAAATAGTCTCAGTTGAGATTAGCCTTTATATCCGAAGTAAATAACCGTACCAATAAAAGCAATAATTAATCTACCCCTTTTCTGATTTCTAGATATCCGACAAAGATTTATCGTTACTGGAAGAGCGTATCAAGCGCGCGGGCAAATCCCGCAGCGCGGAGTCGCGGCGGTCTATGCTGGTCCCGCTTACTGCGTCTGGCAGACCTGTGCAGATACAGCAAGAGGTACATAAGAATTTTAATAGATATAGTTTATAAACGGTTGAAAAATAATAAACTATAATAAAAAAAGAAATAGTGGCGACATATAATAAGGTATAGAGAAATTCAAAATGTCTATTTGTTTTTTCATTTATTTCTCAACTGACTTTTTATGTAATATAATACTTAGCACAGTCAAATAATGTTTGATGTCTACTTAAGAATGAGATAATTTATATTAGCTTACATTACATAATATACAGACTTCAACTAAAAATAATGTCAAGTGTCTAAAAAAACTAAATCTCTATAAAAATTCTTGTTCGTTCTAGGAACCGGAACCTAGACGTGTAATAACAGTGGACACGACTCCCGCGGAGTATGAGGAGGAGGAAGAGGAGCAACCTCCTGCCCCCGCACCATTGCCAGTGTAAGTACATCATGATTGCCTCACGTTGATTTAAGAACTCCAACAAGCAACACAGGCCTGGACAATTGAGTGATAACTTTTATACAGGTTGAAGTAATTGCTATCTTCATCATTTGGTAAAGTCTGGACTCAATACCAATGGAGACAAGCTTGGTTTTTGATTACCATATGGCACCAAGTGCGCCGATTTTCTGTTCATCGAATAGTGAATTGGCTAGTGCCACACTATTAGATGTTAGTGTTTGACTGGAGAAATAGACTTCCCTTTAGATTAGCACTGTCTGAAAAACAAACAACAAAAATATTGATGTCACCTTACAGCGAAAGCCCTTATGATAGGAAATATTTACTTATTTAAAAGCATAATGTCAATGAAGATCCCAACTTAATTCCTATGTTCGCATCCACAGTGCTCCACCAGAACCGAAGATCATAACAGGTCCGTTCGGTCTCGACCCTGAATTGATCGCGCAACTAGACGCAGCTGTGCCAGTACTAAGGCAACCAGATGTAGCTGAAATAGACCTCAAGTTCCTCGACGAGCCCATACCTACTGGCACAGTCAGACCTCAAATGACACATACACAACCACCAATTAGGTCCAGGTAAGATTACGTTTGTACATGGTTAAAACCTTATTAAGGTATTTAAGATGTTATGACAGGTCCAAACAAGTTAAGTCTGGGAGAGCCATGCTTCGGCACGAATGGGTCAGCTCGGGTGGGGTGATACTACGGCCTCACAGAAACCCGTCTTGGAACAACGTTTTGTTTCGCGTTGCTGAAGTTACCTGAGGCCCAATACCCCCAATCCCTAAAGTCTTATCCTCAAAAGGCCGGCAATGCACTCGTAACTTCTTGTTGCGGGTGTTCATGGGTGGTGGTAACCCATATGCGCGTTTGCCAGATTATCACAGAAGAAAAGAATTTAATTATGTTACGTTTGATTGTAAATTTATTTGTATTTAACTAAAATAAAAGTGTGAACCATACCTATTATAAAAACAAAAATCAACTGCGGCATCGTCTGTGTCTTGTCAATTCGCAGTAAACAGATTTTTAGCTGACTTTTTCTAGTAGAATAGAAGACAAGCTCGTTATATATATTTCAGTAATAATATGATGTTTCCTCAGCATGGTCCCGATGTCCCCGCCGCGCCATACAGCCCCGCACCCCCTGGTGACGCCGCAACCACACTCGCTCACCTCGCACGTGGATGACTCGCAACTGGCCGACACCATACACTCCATTGCAAGCCCGGATTTGAATGTGAGTACTTTCATACACTCAAAGTACTTTCTTCTGTTGAGTGGAAAATATTTTGGTCTTTAGAAGTTGTGTCTCGTTGGTCGATTTAAATGTTTTTGTAGTGTGTGTATGTACTTTATTGTCTTCGGACACATTTAAACACAGTGGTTAAGAAGGATATGTGTCATTTTTTTTTAATACAATAAAATGACCCGCCTAAACTTATGTTATTATGTATTCATTATGAAAAGTGGCTTCTCTGGAAATTACACGTTTTATATGCTTTTAATATTTTCTGCATGTAGAAATAGGCACTATGTATCAGATAAATTTGACTGTAAAAACGCTTTTTGTATGTACTATGTTTTACGTAAGTTGACGTTTCGGGTGAAGAAACGCCTAAACTAATACAATAATTGTTTTACAGGCGGCGATCCGCGCGCTGTCCCTGATATCTGGCGCGCTGGTGTCGGGTCGCGGCGGCGCGCTGGCCCCGCACGAGGCGCGCCTCGTCTCCGCCATCGCCGCGCAGCTGCGCAGGCTGCGCGCCGCGCCCGCGCACGACGCGCTGCCGGCATACAAGTACCTCGCTAGCGCACTCACCACGGTATGTGACCCATACAATTGCCTAGTTTTATACGTCAAAAATAAATTAATTTGACGTTTCTGTACAACAAGATATTGAAAAATAACTATACTTTTATTCATTAAAAGCCATTTCAATTACACCCTTTTGAACGTCAAACAATAAAGATATAAAGTGTCAGTTCTTTTAGTGAAGCTATTGCTCATTCCAAAATGTAGATTACGGTGGAGAAGTTTATGTTATTATATTCACGTACTACTTGTTTCTGCCAGTGACAGTGCCTGGTTGAAAACTAGCTATTTGCCATTCCAAACTATAATCCATATCCGTAACGCTACATATTTTTTACGTGAAAGAGTAACAACATCCATACATGCTTACAAATCGCCATTGGTAGGGTAAACAGATTTTTTTATTATGTGAAAAAACGTCAAACATGCTAACCGCCCATGGACAACCGTACAATCAGAGGAGTTACGAGTGCGTTGCTAACCTTTTGGGGGATTAAGGGGAGAGAGGAAGGTTTGGGGGAGGGGCAGGATTGGGCCTCCGGTAAGATCATTCACACGGTTAAACACAACGCTGTAATTGCCGACGTCGGTTTTCTGTGAGGCCGTGTATCACTCTGGTCGAGCCAACCCATTCTTGCCAGAGCATGGCTCTACCACACTTATAAATCAAACAAAAGAATCTAAAATCATGATTTGCTCCCTCCAGTTCTACGAGACAGCGGGCTGCGGTGCCCACGTGGGTGAGGCGGCGCTATGTTCCCTGGTGGGCGAGCTGCTGCGGGTACTGGGCGCCGGCGCCGGGGCCGCGGGCTCCGGGCCCGATGCCGAGCGACTCGTGCGCATACTCAACAATGTCTGCGTTAGAGTGCTTGAACATTCGCCCAGGACGCCGCTCTTATGGTAAGTTTTAAATATTTTATTGATTTTTGGTCATTAAATTAAATAAGATTTTGTTTGGACTGTGACTGTTTGTGTGACGGTGTTGTATGTTTTTGAGACAAATTCTTAAAACCAATTTTGAATTATTGTTTTCTTTTGTGAAAACGGTTCCGATCAAACTTGTCTGCAAAAAACATATATGTAGGTATGTTTTTTGCTTCCTGCTGCTTCCTTTTTGTTATTATTTGGTATTTCTATTTTGTTAAACACGTGTGTCAAGTTTCACGTCAATCTCGATCATTTTAATTTTCGCAGTGCAATAGTATCTCTCCTTCACGAATCTATCGGCGTATCGGACCCGGCGTACCCTCGTTATCAAGATCTCCTTCTCAAGTGCTTCTGGAAGACCCTGAAAATGATTTCCACTTGGGACGTCAACTCTATTGATTATGACGCTGTACTGTACAGAATACACCTGTTCTATAAGGCCTACCCTAATAGCTATTGGAAGAAGAACCCTGATATTAGTGATACACCCTACAGGTATGTGATTTGAGACATAGTTATATGTTTTTATTCAATAATCGACTTTGTTTAGCTATTGTTAAGGTTCATTTTTACTTGAAATTATGAACTGTCAAAAGAAAACTATTAGGGCTATTTCTTTGCTAAAATTGGCCAACATTAAATGTATGGTAGGACATGTTTTACATATAAAAATAATAAAAATGTTTAGTTGCCAAGTAAACATTGGTTTTCGCAATGAAGTTTGTGACATGAACAATTTTATGGTTGTGAACCTAAAAGTTAAGTTAATTAAATTCCTTGTTACAGGACAGTGAAAACATTAGTGCACACTCTAGTCAAAATGAAGGGAAGCTCCATCACAAACCACCTCACACAAATACCAGACGTCAACGAGTCTGACCTCTATCCATATCTTCTGAAAGTTCTCAAGGTTAGTACTCTAGAATAAGTTTTCTTTTTTATATTTAGAGACCCTTTGTGTAATCCACAAATGTGGTTCTAGGTCGGGATGTGTATCTGAAATTTGCAAATATAAATATAATAATGCTAGAAAATAGAAAAGATATGTTAGTTTTAAGCAAAACTACATTTAGGCTATCTGCTAGTTTTCAATTTAACAGCAGTTCAGCAGTTCTAGAGATAAAATCAGAAACACATGAAGTGGTTTTACTCTCCAATTATATAAATTTATCTTTTAAACATTTAATTTTTATTCTAGCAATTGAAACTCGACGAGAAAAAAGAAAACACGCCTGACGCCTTAAATGGTGGATCTGTGCTTGCATCGGTACCTCCCAACAACGCGGCGTTGGCTGCAGGCAGACTGCCGAGGGCTGTCCATGAGGAACTGGCGCTCATACTCAAGAGGATTGGCACTAAGGAGCATAATAAAGACGCTTTGTCACAGCTTTATGATCTGCGGGTAAGTTACTTTATGGATATTTTATTTTTCGTCATCACGTTATGGTAGAATAACTGTTATTTATAATAATTATTATAAATATCCGATTTGTCTTTTTTTCAACTAGCACTTTTGTCTTTTTTCTTTCATAAAATAAATATAACCTAATTCTTGTAAATAAACATCATTATGCTTATATACCTACTACTACTGTCACACACAAAAAGTTTTAGTGTTCCTGCACATGTCTGATGCAATATTTAACTGCACGTTGTTCTCCACAAAATTTTTATATCGCTGATGTATATGTGAAATTGTGTAAAAACATACCATTTCTATGATTTAGGAAAAACGTGTGTTGTGCCCACACGAGCGTTTTTTTCGCATCTCACATTCTTAGGCGCAATATCACGTGTAACGCTTTTTATTCGTGGTTTTCCAGGAGCGCCACCCAGAGGTAGACATCTGGACGTTCATGCAAGGCTCGTCGTTCTACTTCCGTAACTACGTGGAGCGCGGCCTGCGGGAGGTGGCAGAGCAGAGGAAACTCGCCTCTATGCCCATATACAAACACGACTACAAGTCTGATAATATTGGTAAGTAACTCTTTAGAACTGTAAACGTCACTTTTCCTTAAAAAGACTCTAAAGATAATTTTGTTTTGATTGGGAGAATCGATCCTAGATACTTAAATCATTTCAAACCTTCCCCCACCCTCATCTTCAATCCTTAATCCCTAATAGGTCGGCAACGCAATTGAAGTAACTCCTTTGGTACTACGAGTGTCCATGGGCGGCACTGATTGCTTACCATCAGTTAATTCGTCTGCTCTTTTGCCGGACAATAACACAATAAAAATAAATTCAAAGAGTCTGGGATACACATTTTCGTGGCCAACGAGCGGACGGATTACCTGATAGTAAACAATCAGTGCCGCTTATGGACAACCACAGGAGTTGCAAATGTTTTGTGCATTAGGGATTTGGGGACTTTGAGGATAGCAGGGAGGGATTGGGCTTCCGGTAATCTCATACACACGGGGAAACGAAGTGTTATTTCTCGCCTGTTTTCAGTGACACTTTTACTTGTATACATACGCATGATAAAAAAATATTGTTTTGTTACAGACATAAGCAATGAAAACGACGAAAAATCACATGTGATGTTCTTAGAAAGACTTCGAGCTTTGCAGGTTTGTATCATTTTATGATAAAACTTATTTCAGCCCGCGACTTCTTACGCATATTTACGCGGCTTTAAAAAACAGTAGAGTTTAAAGTGATAGCTCGACTAAAGCAGATTTCAGAACATTGTAGCTATCTATCAGTAAAATAATTTTGGAAATCGACCAGCAGTTCCAAAGATTACCAACTACATACAAACTTAATTTTACCACTTTTTAATATTATAATAGAAGTATAGTTTTTATACGACATAATTATTCTCTCAATTAACGTATTTGAAACGATTTTCGCTGTAAATCAATATGACTGCAAAATCTCCTAATAATAATACTTCTTTATAGGCCAAAGCCGGTTTAAAAACAGAGTCATCACCATCGTCACAGCCTCGCACGCCGATAGGCGACAACCGAACACTAGTCGACTCTATCAACGAGAACACGTTGCCACGAACACACAGCATCGATCCACAGCTTGATGTGAGTATTTTTATATAAAAATTAAATATTTTATCACTACTCCAACCTCAATACAGTGATTGAAAAGAATGAGCAGAACTTTGTCTTATTGTAAATTTAACAAAAAGCTATACCTTTCTTGTGGGGATGAAATCATCAAATTACTTCTCTGCTGCTCCAGGTCGAGGCCTTGGCGTTTTATTCGGCTTGCCCCGCAACCCTGGAAATATAGCACCACTTAAATTTACCCAATTGGAGAGTAACTTGATTTTATGTCATTGTTTCCATACTCATCTGACAGAAGACATTTTCTTTCCAGCTACACACAACACAGACGCTATCACAACGCAACGAGGCCGAAGTAGACGCCCTACGCCTGAAGCTACAACAAATTAAGAGCTCCTCCAAGAGATAAGGCCACACACGCACCATACACGGAATTGGTAGCTCTCTCATCAACGTCATTGATTTACTAGCACTATAAAGCAATACTTATAATCGAACAATTAGTCGAGTGGTCAACTATTTGACTAAACAAACATTTCAAAGTTCATTTTAATTGACTTATTCGTCTTGCCTCAAATAACTCGAACATTCTTAATCTCATTTCTCATCTAATTTGTAAGACTAGGCCTATGCGTGTTCCGAGGTAGCGTCCATTGATCCCTTACTGAGTGGAACATGACAATATAGTTTCAGTATCGCCTTGCACAGGGTATAACGCTTCGTGTATTGAAAACTTGTCTAAGTAAGGGGTCACATTGTTGTGCGGTTAGGATAAATTTGACTATCGTGTCTATTATTATATATGGTCAATGTTTGGTGGTTTTGATTCACAGCTAAATAGTAATGGTTCGCTAATTTGCTAGGTACATTAACTATGATTTCATTTTAATGATTATGTTAACATTTATTTAGCAAATGAGCGAACTTATATTATGACTCGTTAATTAATAATCTAATTGTAATGTATGTATTGCTGGAAACATGATGAAAAAATGTCTTTTTATGATTTTCCAGCTCAATGTTGGTCACCAATAAAAAACTTACAATAACTATGAAAGTTTTGAACATTTAACTCAACTAACATAATATTTTGTTAGATTCAAAAAGTTTTTTCTATTGGTGGGCAAATATTGTTACACATGGATAATCTTGCTTATAAAATATACTAAACATTTGATGTTAAATTAAGTGTGAATAGGGAATACCCAAAGATGAATTAAAAAAAGACATGATGAAATCAAAGAAAATAAATTTTGCACCATCTTTATATGAGAATAAGAGGCGCATGGATTTAAATTTAATATTGTAATATTGTTCACCGATTATATCGAACGGTAAAGTCAATACCTCCTAACTGTCATTTTTCGATTGAATCACTATTTTATCGCATATTTAAACTTAGATGCGTTATTCGCATTTTGGACAAAATCTCCTAAGTGAATAACTGTAACAACATTAAATTGAAATAGCTCTCAAAAATACCATGTGATACAATTTTTTATAGAAGGTATTGATACTTCACTGTCGATATACAAATCATCTCACAGTGTGTTTCATTAGATAATTGCACTCATTGTTGCACTTTGATGGGGTATTACATAAATGGAGCGCTTACTCGAACATTCTGGAATATTAAAGAGGGTTGGAAACAAATACATATAAAGTTCACTTCCATGTTAAAAAAACTAAAATTGAAATAGTTAAAAATAAACCTTTTATTTTCTTTTATTATTATCAGAATTAATTATGGATATACACATTTGTAATATTGTCAAGAATGTAAAGAAGGACGCGGAAATTTTTGTCGAGTATTGCGTAGGGTCACAGTCTGTTTATACAGTATAGCAATAACGATTAATGACTGCTCTTGCTAATTAGGAAGTATCTTAACGATGTCTCCGTAATAATGCGCGTCATATCTCGCTATGCTTTATACTCATTTATTCATTCATTCATTTGTTTTTTAATCTGTATGTCGCAGTTCTTGAACAAATCATGTATTTTGTACTAGCAGTTGTGCCCCATTCACGTTTCATAACTAGAATTATGAAGCATCGTCAATCATAATTATTTTATTACGTATGCTTCAATAATGCAAATCATAATAGATGTTCTGTATTTGTTTATTGTCTAATGCAATTGTTTAGAAGTAAATTTTATAGAATCGAATGGTACTAAAATCTGTGGTGTAGTCACTTAAAATGTCGATGTATACCAAATTTATTGAACAGCATATAATGTTAGTATTTTTAATATGATAACGAAGTAGCCATTTAAAACGTAATACGTATACCTTAGCCAATCCATACAATGAATAATCAATGTTTAATTTTAATTAATATTCGAAATGATGCTGAATAGCCATTAAAGAACATTGACTCTAGTTTTGTATCTATGATTGTTCAATGTAGTTTTCATTCAACTTGAAAACTATTATTGATGATGTATATTGTGTTACTAATAACAAGTTGTTTAAGTTAATTTTGTATGTATTTTTTTCTATTGGATTTGTGTTGAGTTTTTGTGTTCGTTTTGTGTTTGGAGGTTGCTATCTTTAATGCAATACTCGTCGAGTATGACACGCGTGGTTTGTTGGGTGACAAGAAAGCAAGTCTTTCTGATATGGTACAATAAAGTTTTAACATTATTTTTACCCTATTCTCGTACAAGAATGCTGTTTTGTAATCCAACAACTGCTCGAGTCATCTTACAATTTTATTTCTCTATTATTATTAACTCAATGAGTGATTGTTTGAATTGAAGAGTTGTGTTTGGAGTGTTAAGTTACAGATGTGCGACCAGTCGTCATCCAGTAGGTTTGTTAGAAAACTTGTAAGAGCTGAGATGAGGCCATATTTTTATATATTTTAGTACCCAAGTTCATACAACCTGAGATTATCGATACATTCCTCCCAGTATTGGATTTTTTTGTACCAAATTGTGTGTCCATTATCATCAAACTATTTATATAACATTTCATCAGTTCACCTATACTCATTATTAGAAAGTACCAGTTTTCAAAGACGTTGCGAAATAGCGTTGTCCATAATGAATGTATAAAATGCGTTTGGACGCGGTCCTCAAGAGTACAGAACTCAAAATTGTTACAAGTGAAACAATAATGAATGATGAACTATCCGAAGGTTCAAAGTTATTAATTTCATGTTAGTTGACTCTGTAGTATGAGTTTATTATAGTTTCATAACATAATTATAATAAAAACAATGTACTCGATATGTTAAAAAATATTCGAATCGCTTATAGATAAGAAACTCACTATTTTACGATTCCTATTCAATTTACTGTATGAAAACTAGGACCCGTAGATTTGTTATTATTCAAGTTTAGAATTCATTTTATTTGATAGGTACATGTTGATTCCAATTTCTGATTCGTTAAATTAGGTTAGTATATATGATTGTCTTTAGTATAAACATTCGCTTTTTAAACATGACTTCATATTGATTATTGTGAGCATTTATTTATTGTATTATGTAAATTAATGTTAAAATCATGATGTAATATTAATTATAATAAAGTGCATACAACACTAAACATCTTTTTGATAATTTTTCCAGTGCTTAGGGTTGATAATTCTTTACTTTCTTTCTTGGAGACCACTTTACTGAGATATTTGGCTAAAGGTGAATTGATCATAACTTTTATTAATAGTTTACTAGTTAATATATAATAGTTTACTTCCACTCACTCTAATGATGACAAGTGCGACTACCTAGTGCCAAGTAAATAGCTCTAGCATCAATTTCCAGGTCTTGCAGACGATTACTTCATAGTCGGTGTTTTTTTCGTCTAAGTATACTAATATTATAAAGAGGTAAAATTTGTATGTAGGGGGTAATATTTGGAACCACTGGTCGGATTCCCAAAATTCTTTCACTTACTGTTACCTACAATATTCCTGAGTGCTATAGGCTATAAAACATCACGCTACAATCTAAGCCGAGCAGCGAGTGAAACCGCGTGGGTGTAGCTAGTATGTAATATACAAGCTTTCGCCCGCGTGGTATTTTGATAATGAGCAGCTTATGTGTTAATTCAGAGTATCACCTATTTACATACCAACCAAATCGGTCCAGTCGGTTTTGCATGAAAGAGTAACATACATCCATTCATTATCACGTTATTTAATTCAATTATTCATTATAATATTAGGGTGTGGGAGAGCCATGCCGTGAAACAACTATAGCGTACAGCGTAACCATATTTCTGTTTCCCCGCCCCCCAATCTCAAAATCCCTAATCTTCAAAGTGGCTAATTGCTTACCATCTGGTAATTATTATACATAGTCAAAAATAATACTACAATTTTTGTCGGTGTGTCTGTCTGTTTATTCCAGCCAATCTTAGGAAAATCTGGACCGATTTTAATGATGGTACCTGATGTTATAAGGATTAACTTAAGAAAGAAAGAATATAGCGTTTCCGCAGCGATAATAAAATTTTACGTGGACGAAGCCACGGGTATAGTCTAGTGAAAAATCACTTATGCCCAGTAGGTACAGGGTATCTTTGTACTTCCGTTTCTATATCGAGCAATATTAACGATTGCGAATGGCTGAAAATGCTTTTTCCATCAAGATTGATTTTTTATCGAGGTACATCGATTGAGAAGTGACGTACTTTGATCGCACTCGTGGTTTTGTTAATGCAACGTCATGTGCGAAAGCCCTACATAACCGAAATTTATTTCCTTTAGAAGCTAGTGCAATGATTGGCAGTAGAACATGATGGCATGTGATCGATTCCCAGTCGCAAGCAATGTGAGAATTTCTCAGTCAAAATGTAATTAACATTTTGACTAACTTAACTAACTAAAGGTACGTAAGGATGACTGCGTGGTTTGTCTTGAAATGTATTGTGCTGTCGATTCATGCAGCAGAAGAAGAAAAAAAGACAAGGAAACATTAAATATCTATTAATCTACAGGCTGGTGGCATGGATCATTAGGCAACCGAACTAAAATGAAAGTAAATGGACGTTAAGGATTTCCATGTGCTTTTCATCATCAGAGCCAGATACATCAACCTATCCTTTCAGAGAGTAGTGGGTGCAATTTCCAAGAACATGTACGCCCTGTAAATTCGTAAGAAGACTGAGATCGATTCAATCCACGCCCACACTGATATTAAAGTGTGTAGACTGTAGGTATCAAGGCTTGCGCAGATGAGGGACTAAGTAAAGGACAAAGGTTCTTGAACTTATTCCCGTCACGACTCCGACACATTGCACGGTGCAGTTCATCTATTACTGGCTGTCCCGGTGAACTTTTTAGTGGCCCAAAATTTGCCCAAAATCAATAACTGTTGAGCTCAGACAGAATGTTCCGACAATAAAGAAAAATGTATTTTTCTTTATTAATTTTCTTACTTTTTATTTGGCAGCTATTAAAATCAGCCTTACACGTAAACTCTCAGTTCCCAAATTTGTTAATAGCACACTTAGCTAATTCAAAACTACTCCAAATTATATTTTAACGACTGTATTTTGCTAATTGGTTGCAAGAATTAAATAATTATGTCATTTGTATTACGAAAGTTTATCCATCTTGATAAGCTCGTCATTTCTTATCAAGTTACCGAAGAAGATACATCGAAATTATATCTGTATTATCATAGAATAATTATTTCTGGTGAAATTCGCGATTTTTATTAAAATTAACAAAAAATCGAATTATATATTTCAACTGTAAATATAATCCACGCGAGACTGGACTGAGTATCCGGCTATATTTTATTAGAAATGTAAGTAATTTTTTTATATGTTTTAGCTTAATTTTATATTATAAACAATGTTTCGTTTTTTATTTCGAATCCGAGTAACTAATTTGATTTTAATGAAAAGAATATTCGTTTTGCTATAAGGCTAATTTATTCATAAATATTGAATTGAAAGCGTTGGAAGGCATGGACAAAGTTCGTTGAATATATTTAGAAAATTAATGTAAAATCATTACAACTGATGTTACATTGTCAATTAGAAGAATTTAATCCCATTTTTATGTTAGTTAAATATATTTTTTTATTTTAAATATCTGCGCCTGTATTTTTGTGATCTCGAATACCACGAAAAAGTAAAAATATCGTCTATGGTACTAAATAGACAAGTGATCAACCAATCAAACGGTGGGGCGGACGAAACGAAATGAAAGTCCGCCACATGTCCGCCATATCTACTACATCTTCTTTCTAATAGTGACGTTCATATTATTTTGTGTTAGATAGCGTTATTGTGTAGATATTCGTTGTATAATTTAATTATTTTTTTAGTTTATCAAATACGCGGTGAGTAAGTGTGTAATCTGGATCTGACATATTGATAGTTTTTAATTTGGAACTCCGCGCCGTGCTTTGCGTATTGTCAAAATGGAAAAATCTTAGTTTTAACGTAACTACAGCCTTCTTGTATGTGTTATTTATAAATTGGAACCACCACATTACATTCGTGACGTATTTTGTAGCGTTTAACGGTGCCTGTTGAGTAATAAATTTTTTTTTGGTGTCGGCATTATTAGACGGTGTATCCAATATTTCGCAGACCCTCGACGGCGGAAAACACCATGGAGTCCCCACGGAAATTCAACGATTGTTATTTTTACTACTACTCCACATGCACGAAGGTAAGAAAATATTGGTTAATACATTTACTTACAAAAAATTTAGTGCAAATGTCATATTGTTTATATTCTGATTGTCTGATAAAAATGATGGAAGCTAACGTGTTATGTAGTGTTTCAAACAATATTTTATGGGGTTAGACTTTCCTTTATGGACCGTCGATTTTGGGGTCAAAATGGGGGGAGGGGGGAGGGGGAGGGTGAGGACTACCCCCCAGGCCCATCCCCACCCCGCGGAGCCCTATGGTTACGGAGATATCCATGGTCAAAGTTTGTTAAAATTTTGAGGTTAGGAAAGATTTTTCGGATAGTTTGTATGTATGTATGTATAACTTTAGAATCGTACCGCAGTGGGGAGGATGCCCCCTTCCCCTAGTACCACTCCCATGACAAGGCAACTCACAGTTGCCGAGAAATACGATTTTTTATAACCTTACCTCAAAACACTAAAAGTCACTTAATAGGCAAAGTCTACGCGGGCTCCTACTTCTGGGTGGTTTGCAACATGCAGCAGGCATGGCTTCTGTCACGGCTCCGGCGCTGCGGGGCTCCGGCGGTCCCACGCGAGCTAATCGTCGCAGATGGTTTTACGCCCATCACCGCGGCTTCGGCTTGCTGGCCGGCTTCGCCGGCCAGCCTCAGCCACGGCGATGTGCGTTATAACCACCTGCTCCTCAGCTCGCGGGCCGCCCCGCCCCTCCGCGCCTTCGCGAATTTAAAAAACACTCTCGGGGTAGGGCAGAAAAGAGACCACGTAAAGTCGGTTTCGCAGCAATTCATTTCTGTCACTAACTTTTTTAGCACATTAAAAACATTATGCCAAAAGACAATGTATTAATTATTTCAATATAACCTATATTCAATAGGAATACTCCAAAAAAAAAAAAAAAAGTAGTCAACAACACGCGAAACGTCAAATTTGGCGTGAATTTTTCAATAGACTTTACAATTTTTAAATAATTATATCTCGTAAACCGTGAGTTTCCGCAACATAAAAATTTGTAAAAAGCCTTCTGTTAATGTGTACTATCTACAAAAAAAAAATGAACGCTCAACTCGACGGTCCATAAAGGAAAGTCTAGCCTTTTATGGTTAGAATGTTTTATTGACATCAAATTAATCTACGAAGTTCATTAAAATGTTTGTATAAAATTATAACATTGTAATGCTAGCACATTTTACAATGAAACTAATTATTTGAAAGGTAAAATTAGCATAGATGACCTTTTGTGCATGTTGGCTTAAATAATGTCAGTAGACTATAAAATGTTTATATCCTTTTTGTTTTAAGCATGATAATTTTGTGGAAGAAAAGAGGTAGATACTACATGTGTTATAAGCAATCTTATGATTTGAAAATGCACATTTATGGAAGCCAACAAACTAGTTTTGCTGTCAAAAGGTGCTGAAGAAATACCATATTACACAAGTTGCATATTGCAATTCTAAAAGCTATCTTGATGTAATTGTTACAAAACATTTAAAATACCAAAACTCAGGGTGTGTCAATGTTGCATTTATGTTAATTGCAGTCATATGTCCATTTTAGCATTTGTTTCTTGTATTCATAATATGTTTCCAAGCCACAAAGAAAAATTATAAGCATATACCGTTAATCCAAATCTAGTTTCAGATAGGTTGTCAACCCTTTTGATTGAAAAATGATTCGTTTTTTTTTATGTTATAAACATTTGATTTTATTTCTGATGCAGGGGGACAACTGTGTGTTTCGTCATGAACCATCAGCACTGGGCTGCGAGACAATGTGCACAGCTTGGCAGCAGGGCAAGTGCCTTGATAAACGTTGCAAATTACGTCACATGGAACTCAGGGTATGTTGATAACACAAAATCTAGGTACTTTGGATATTACGATCTAGCATATGTTTTGTTCGTCAGTTACAATATTGGATTCAGTAAATAAATATATTTAACATTTTTGGACAATAATTGCAAATACTATTTAAACAAATTGCAATAATAAGAAATGCTATTTTTTGTATCTAGTTGAATGTAGATGTAGAAATAAAAATATTGTACAGTTATTCAAGCAGATAGTGATAATTCTTGTATGAAAAAAATACCATAATTGTTTTATGTTCCATAAAATGTTATTGATTTTACAAGCATTCCTTTAGCAACAATGGTAAAAACGATTATATTTTCTAATTTATTTTGTTAGTAAGAACACATACTAATAATTGTGTGTTTTTACAAATCTGGCATGTATGTGACCAGCTGTGCAAATTGTATTTGCTTTTGTATTGTTAGCACTACAAATTGCAAATTAGTTGAATAGTTAACAAGTTTATAATGTACAACAAAATATAAAAGAATCAAGGGTGACAGGCAGTACAATTATCTTCATAGCAACCATTCCTCAACAATTTACTATGATTACTACATGAAACAAATAAGAGTTTGGTCTGCTAAAGATAACTGAAAAAAGTTAAATTAATTTCCTTTCATCTGTCTGTGTACATATGAGATGCGTATATGTTATATTACATATTAGGTCAGCCTATAGTTTAGGATTGTGAAATATGTTCAGTCGTAACATGTAGATTCTAATCAATTTATTTTTTAAATTGCTTGTAATGGACCAGGTATAGTTAGTCTAGTCTCTAATTGATTTAGGTTCCTATGTAATTACATATTATTACAGTTATGCAACAGTCATTTTGTTTTTAATAACATACATTATGTGTTACTCTTGCAACTGACATTTTTATTATTAGATTTCTTAAAGGTCAGAATTACCTTTACTAGCTCAGTAAGATGGCCTAGTAATTATTGTAATCAATACATTTCTAGATTGCACGTTTTACTGATAATGATTATATCATGTGAGGCAATATTTTTTATCTTAATCTTTAGGATTAATTAGGTTTACATTATTTGATATGTGGGATAGTTATGTGATATGACTTCCACCTAACAAATGATTGAGTAGAAAGTAGCAAATAGTAGTAATGATTGTATATGACCTCTTTATGCTGAAGATGATGAAGAAGCTGGTTATCCCTGGACAAACTCTGGATTTGAAGTATACCTGACTTTTCATTCAAAAAGCTCCAAAGAAAATATGGGTATTTCAGTGAACGAAAAAGGATTTGAAGCAGCGGATCAAGGCTGTTGTTTTATCAAGTACAAAATATATTAAATATGTTTAAATAAATTGTTTATAGAAAAACCGCAAGCAGATCCCATGCTATTGGGAGAACCAGCCTGGCGGATGTCGTAAGATGCACTGTCCGTTTATGCACAAGAACCCGGACGCGCGCACCGACGGTATCGCGCCTAGCCAGCCGGCGCCGCCTCCCCCCGTGAGACAACACATACATTACACGCCATACACGGTGCCTTTTTTACTAAGAATCTAGGAAAACTTTCAGGGGTGATAAACATACTAAAATAATCCTTACTTGCACATAACATGATCTGTTTTTCCGTAACTTTGAGTGTGTATTGAATGCTCAATTCAATACTTTCAAAGTGTCACCCTTGAAAGCTTTCCTGGTTACTAAAAAAGGCATGGTGTGTATCTGTTTGAAACTATTAACATTTGTTTGTAAATAATCTCATTTTTGTTTTCATCTTACTTATATTAATTTGTAAAGTTTTTGGTATTGACTTGTGGTAATTTTGAGATTTTTAATCATCCCTAACTTTCATATAGTTCGATTATTAATTAAAAAGAAGTTTGCTTTTACTACCTACTTGCCGCATCATTTAACTTGAAAGTCATTAAGTCCCATTCTAGCTTGAGGCGACAATCTAACTTTCTTTTACATAGTTAAAAGTTTGTAGGCTTATAGCCACTTTTCGACTTGAATCATTGAAATCAGTAATTGTAATTCAGATCATTTCAGTATAAAAGGGTTTTGCTTTGGTTTTTTGGTCGATTTGTGACTGGAACAGTAAGTAATGAGGACCTGTCGTTACAATAGCAGGTGCCGACGTCTGTGAACGTGCCGGAGCCCGTGTCGGCGGAGCAGCCCCCGATGGGAGGTGTGGCGGCCCCCGTGCCCGCGCCTGCGCCCGTACCTCTGCTGTGGCAGCAACAGCGCCAAGGTAACAACTTGTATACTCTTGTACAATTAGATTCTATAGAAAAAAAACACCATCTTTTGCACGCGACTCCGTTCGCGTGGAATAGTGACTTCTTGTAGATTTTTGGTATAAAACTACCCTATGTCCTTTCTCGTGTTCCAAACTATGTCTTGATACAGACATAGTTTGGCAATTTCGGCAATTTCACAGAAATCGGTGCAGTAGTTTAGTCGTGAAGAAAAGACAGACAGACAGACAGACAGAGTTACTTTCGCATTTACAATATTACTTTGGATTGTTCAATAATAGGATTTCATTCTGTGTCGTGGATGCGTTTACAAACATGCAATTTTACTAACACATGATCCGCAACAACAATCTGTGGATCACACAAAGAGTTATTAGAGAAATAAAAGATTTAAAATGTAACGGTAACCTCCTCCCTTCCTCCCCTTAAATGTTTTTTTTTGCGTATGATTTTAGTTGAAATGTATCTCCAATGAAAACTACTAAGTAATTGTATCGCGCATGATTTGAGAAGACAACATGGTTATAAGAGTGACTAGTCAATAAATCTGGTACATTTAAAAACATTTTATCTGATTTCCACTTCAATATGCGGGACAGTCCATGGCAAGTTTTTTTTTTAATTCTATTTATAACAATTCGCGTACGTTAAGGTATATAAAATCGAATGTGCGTGTTATACGAATGTGACACGCAACAAATAGTTTTTATGTCCATGTTAGGTAAATGATACGTATCTATATTATTACGTAGGTACTGGGTTTTTGTGATATTCATTTTGACGCCATGCAAAACACAATATTGCGTTATTTCGCAAAAAGCTATGACAGTCGTCACATATAATTTTGTACTGTAAGATGAAGGCAAATTGTTTAATTGACTGCATGTGGCTGTCGTTTCCCGCTCGGAACAACTCTTTGATCCACAAATTGTTTTTCTGAGTCTGGTTGTGATGTGTATGTGGAACTGTATGTTTGTAAACGCACCCACGACGAATCAATACCAGCTGTTATGAGTATAATGATACGAGTATTGTTTCCCCCGCAGTGGTGCTGGACTCGGCCATCCTGGGCGTGCTGCCCGCGTCGAGCGAGCTGCTGAGCGGGCGGCGAGTGCTGCCCCCCCACGCCCACGAGCAGCCCGCCAACCCGTACGCGCCCATGCCCGTCGACCCCCTCGTCGTCAACTTCGAAGAAGGTATGCGCCTATACTGAAACTACATGTACTAAGCCCCCTCCAGACGATTTGAGAACTCGAACACTCGCTATCTAACTGTAACTATCACCACGACAGCCAAGTTCTAGAAGATTCCAGTAACAACACAACCGCCCGGGACCCGTTCGCTGCAAAACTGGTTGTGTTCGGTGTTACTATTGATGTTCGTTAGATACGGCAGCTATACTTCTCTCGAAGTTGTGTTGCTATGAGGCTAGAGTCTCGAGTTAAGCAATCTCTGACGCGAACGACTTTATGTTGGTGTAGGTAACTAACGTAATTTATTATTTTAAGAACATATAGGAACGGTCCCGAAAGAAAAAAAATTGAATAAGAAATTCAATGTGAAATTACGATCGCTGCTGACAAAGCAAGGGTTGTGTGACTGATAGGAACTGATTCGTTGAAAAGCGTTTTTATGGAAGTAAACAATTTCTGTAAAACGGTAAATAATTAAAGTGCGGTTGTCTTGGATAAAGCTGCCGCAATAGTCATGTGGTTACTTTATATAATGGAATCTTCTAGAAGAAATGTGCTCGTGTCATTGGTGGGCCTGTAGTAGTTTTGTGAACCAACAACGACCGAGCGATGCGCTGCGATAGCAAACAGACTTCTCAAATTGTATGATTGGGGCTTAAGGCTCGATTTGCTCTTACGAATTTGAAAAGCCATCAAAATAATTGAGATTGGACTAAATTTGGACCAGTGTATGTAAGATAAAGTAAGGAAAAAGTGGGTAAAGCTATTTGATGGTGAATTGTTTCCTAGTATATTATTATGTAATATGAATATTCTCCATATGTGGCATAGTACTTTACAATTTTCTATTTAAGAGCACTGGATAAAGGATTGCAAGTTTTATGCGTCATGAGTTTATGTGATATAAAAAGCAATCGTAATAAATGTATAATTTGATACAAGTCGGAGAGTGAGCGACGGTGTATATAAAGTTATATACGCGACAGAGATGGACACTTTGAATACGTCGACTGTTGTGTAATTTTGATGTCTTTCCAAATATTGTGACTGGCGAATCTTGTAGCCGAACGTGAAATTAATTATACTATTGTACTAATGCACTTGAGTTTTCAATAGACATTTAGAGATATACGCTCGTAATATCGATTTCATGGCTCTCAGACACTAAGTCTAATGGTCGAGCCAGCCGCTTGATGACGATATGATTGTTGCGTTAGCCTCGCTATCCATCGGAGTGCAAGCTTTGCGCATTAATTAAGTAATTACATACTTATTGTAGCGCAAATTAATGAATTTATGGGATGGAAAATCGATACGTAGAATTATCGATATGGTATTCGGTGATACACTTCGATGGATAGGGAGGGCTAACATGCATTATTGTAATAATTCGGTAGTTGAAAACTCAGCATTGTCATGTTATGGGCGGTATGCGTGTAGGGTTAAGCATTAACGATGTTAAAATTCAAACGCTCATTTATTGTTTTTGTTTTCCTAAATATAACACTATGCTTATGTATACTATACTATAACTAATAAGGCACTGCTGACTAGATCCACGTCAAATTGTTGGTCGTAGGTCGCATTGAAAGGGTTTCAATATTATTTTTAGAATTCAACCCTTTGTTGTGCCAATAAAAATATTTATGTAAAAAAACGACCTAGAAAAGTGTTAGATTTATTACTTTAAAAAAATATATATATTGATTTTATTCACATGTTATTGGTTAAGAATTTTTTCCTACGTTTATTGTCGCTAGCGAAATGGGAATTTATTATTTTATATATTTTTACGCGGGGGGCTCTTAACTTGCCGCTTTATTCATTTCAACTTTTGTAGAAAGAAAATACATTTCTTTTGTTCACCCACTTCGTGATGCGACGTAGTAACACCTGTTTATGGAAGGTATTATTATTGTTTTTATTTCGTCAATAGTCAATTAATATAGTATTTATTGTAGAGTTATAGTTGGATTCAGTTTCGCAATTTTTTATTCAATAATATAGAAACGGGAATGGACTTACAAGTATGGGAAGAACTTCTGAAACTGGATCCAAGGTTAATTTAACTAAATACAATATTGTTTTTTTATGTTGCCGGATGAGGCGGCTTTTTGGTTGACTCTAACTTAGACAATGTTTAGCTGTTTTTTTATACCATAGACAATGATTAAACAAAGTGAGATTATATTTGACTCACGATGAATTTACGAAAGCTCTCTTCTCACATTTATTAAAAAAATAATATTGAGAAAAAGCGACGTTGGTATTTTTGTATGTGCAATAAATAAATTAGAGAATATAATCTCTTTCATATCTTAGCTAATTAGATTCATTAATATCTCTCGCTTTTTCATTTACTGTATCATTATATAACAATTTATATCACATAGATAGACAGTTACAGTCATATTTTAAGATAAAAACATTCAGTTTTCTCTCAAAATATCACTGCAATACTTTTTTTAAATAGATGTTGATATAATCTTTGTCTATGATAGAAAAGTACATAATAAATAGGTTTAATAACATATAAAATACAAATAAAAATATATATACACGATTATTGTAACTCATTAAATATAGGTGAAAAAAAAAGAAAAAAAAAACAGCTTTATGCCTTTAAATTGTTTGTATGTTAGTACGTAGGATGTTTTAAGGGGCTTTGGCAGTTTATAAAGGTAACCACTGCTACCTGCCCCCAATACTTATATATTCGCACCGTGAGATTTAGATAGATCTAATAAAATGATAAAAAAAATGTATCTCTAGGTATACACAACGGGAAACACAGTTTTGTATGTTTCAAGGGATATGGGGCTGTGATTTCCGTCAGACAAAAAAAAATGTGCTTAAGATCATAACTACCAATTTAGAAAGAATAAAAAAAGAGATAAGCTAACAAAATGAGCATTCGTTTGCTTTGCGATCTTTGGTAAGAACTGGTAACGCTTCCGATTTACCGCGTACTGAGATAGCACGCCGGTATATTTATTGAACGCGATTAGTCAAATATATTTGTTGTGTAACTGCAGGTAACAGATTCATTTCATATATATTTTGCACTGAAAGTAAAGTTCCTATATTTATTACAAAATCGCAAAAGTGTGAACAGGACAGGTAGTAAAGGAATCGGTTCGCGTTATGTCCATGGTACGCCTAGTCATTATTTATGTATAGAAACTATTTATCAATATTAAAATAGTCTCGATTGGTGGGGATAGATTAAGTCGGAGGTTGCTTATATTGTTTAACGTTTAACATGCTGCTCAGTTTATACACACATTTGTTTTTAAAAATATATTTTCAAATTTCTCAAGTGTTCGCTTGGAAAAAGGAGGTGAAATTATTTTAAGTTTTATATAAATTTAGCGGAAAAGTGTACTGAAAACTTGTAGGAGTATAATTTTTAGAATGAATTAGTACAAAGGGGTGTTGCTTCCAGAGGCAATTATTGAAAAAAAAGAAATAATTAAATTGGTTTCTCTCGTAACTGTAGCAATACATTTTATATTTAGTATAATGTTGTAGTCTTGTCTCTTTTTATACTAATAAACTATTTATTTACCCTTAGATTAATTGTTGGAATGTTAATGTTTTATGTTAGACAGGAAAAATTCTGTCGCACGGACAGCGCTTGAGTCTTTGTGAAATGTACTGCGATTGTGGAACGAATCACTATCTATGAGTTGACTCATCTACGTAATTACTTATTTCCTTATTCTATTCAACAGTTTTATTATTATATGAATAGAAAAAAGACTTGATAAGAAATTATATTGTAAGTGGTTCTCCGGAACGTACGACATTTCATAATGATGTCAGCACGGACTAAGTTTGCACTAACCGATTTTGTTGAAAGTGGAATGCTTTTTATATTTATGTGTTCGCTGACGTAATGGACTGCTGACGGAGGGAGGGTATGAATGTATGGATTTGAACACAATTCGGAGGTCAAAGATGTCATCCACATTTGATCACGATCGGTTATAAATCCGAATGATTTTTCTAAGATTTGTATATGTGTGCGAAAGTGAGGTAAATGTAATGAAATTAGTAATGCAGCACTTTTGATACTTACACGTTGTGTTCCGTGACACGGGATGGGATGGATGGCACGGCCGCCGGCTGTCCCCAGTGCCTACTGATACTTTCTTGTTTCAAATAATACGGGGTTGTTGTTATGTTAATCTTAGTCTTATTTTATAATAAGAATTTCAAAATATGTTTATTATTAGTAACGCGTGTCTAGTACCTTTCGTTTAAGCTAATTAATATTCAAACTGATATAGGAACTCGTAACGGAACAGATTATACTTTGGCTTTGTTTAATCAAATTGTGTTTAATATACCAACGAGTAAATAAAAATGTTTCGTAATATGATTTTTGTAATTATTTTTGACCGCCCCCTTCGAGAGTCGCTTTCAGATTGACGATACGAGAACACACCGCGAATGTTGCCGGACGGGTCGCATCAAAATTAATTACGAAAATCATTTGGAAAGTTTTGATTCTCGCGACTAAGCGGTTCGTTCGTGTGTTCTTGCAGAGTCGGATAATGAAAGCGCACCCTCGTCCACGCCTACTAAAACCGTGTCGCCGGACGACGCGAACAAAGTCACTAACACTAAGACTCAGGAGTTACTGCTCCTCGAGAAGATACAGGCGGAGGCGGCCGCGTACTACAGCTACGAGGGCCTGCCACCGCCCGACCCCAAGGAGCGCAAGATAGTGCGCACCAACCTCGCCACCAAGTACGAGCGCGTTTCGCTCGACGAGATCGCAGGTACCAAGCCACCCACGGAGCGCCGCGCCTCCCTCGACTTCAAGGTGCTCACGCTCGAAGAGATCAGGGCACGCAAGAAAAACGATACTATCATACACAGTAAACCCATCACGCTCAACCTGAGTCGCAAGAGAAAGCTGTCGACACACGAAACGATCACTACGTCAGGCAATAAAATACTCAAAGTCGTTAGAAGCAACTCAATCGTGTACAAAAAACTCGATCGGAACGCTCCTACAGTTTCAAATCAGTCCAAAGTCGACCAAAAACAAAATAATGACGCTAACGAAAGAAAACGAACTTTGTCCGAACAGAGCGACATCTATGAAATACAAGAGGATGAGCTTGTGGATAACTGTTTCGAATTCAAAAGGATAAAGATTGATGAACAAACTGCTAAACCTAAACTGATTAGGAACAGAATATCTAGTGCAAATAAAAGTACAGACGAACCGAAATATGATGATATAGATCTGAATAAAACAGATGATTCGGATTCAGAAGTACAAATAGTAGGGGTTGAGTTAAGTGAAATGAATTCTGTAGATTTAGATAAGATTGATTCTGATAGTGAGATTATAGATGTAGAGACCACTAGGCTAGGTGAACCTGTAGATGTAGTTGATCTAAGTGAGGATCAGGATGACAGTGAGATCACTGCCTCAGACTTGGACCTAGATTTGAGTAGAAATGCCGTCATGCCAGACGTCGTAGCGAGCTGTCATCAACAAATTAGTAATAAAAACGACACAATAGAAACAAGCATTTTAAATGATATCGACAGCCTTTTGAACGAAGAATTATGATTCTCACTCATCTTAGTATTTAGGTTTTACTTTAAGTTAAAAAACTCGTACAAAGTTTCGACTTAGGTTGTTAACAGCAATATTTTTATTGCCAGATTTTAAAAAGATCTACAATAAGTAGGTAGTTATTTATTTTAGAATGTGACAAGCAATATTTGAGTGACTTATCGAGTAGTTGTGCTAAATATACGTATTTAGCGTTTGTTTATGTTTATATTTTGCTGTAGTGTTAAAAGAATTTATTAAAAATAAAAAAATATAGTGAATTTTTAAACGGTGGAGTTTTATTGAAAGAGAATCTGCACTTAGTAAACTTGTAAATCCTTTGGTGTCCACGAGCGTCGATGATCACTGTTTTCGTATGGTGATCTATAGAAATTTATTCTGACAAGTAAATTGAAGCCTTTCCGTTTATTGATTCAACTTGGTTTACATAGATGGCACTACGTAGCTCAAATAAAACAACCGAGTACTTTGATCCAAAAGTGTATTCATATAATGTTATTAAAATGTATCATCGACATCACACAATTATTCACATTTTTATTTATAATCAATACATATGCACATTAAAAACTAATCGTAAATTCGAAATTAGGTTGATTCAAGCTAGTGCTGTAACTAGTTTCTTTTTTTAAAGATCAACTGCGACATTTATTCATTTGTATAAATCAACTAGATTTCCTTCAAATCGGAGCTAATTCGGGATCCAAACATTAGGTACTGCTACTCACATAAAATAATAAAGTATCTAAATGAATGCAGTGTCTCGAAGTCTCACTGCTTTTATCAGGTTTACAGAAGGATAATCACAATGAACAATTATAATAATACACAAAGTAACTATTTACAGTTTCGCACTTATAACTAACAAGCCCTGTTTCTCATAAAAAAATCTAATTTTACATCGCTACTTTATGTGAATGAGTTTAAATATATTGAAGGTTTTATATAAATTAGACCTTTGTGCCTTATCTGTTTCGGACTATAGATAACTGTAAAACCAATATAGTCTGTAACTATGACGGTTTATTACTTAACATGTGTTAAAAAGGCAAAGGTAATACAATCATTCAGCCACATTTGTCAAAACATTGCATAAAATCTTACAATATTTATGCCAGCATTATTAATTAAACATTTACAACAAATATACACAATTAAATACTTAATTAATTCTAGACTTAGCTAACTATCTAATTTTTATTAAAATATTTTTAACACTTACATCGTATTTATTAAATTATTTCATTCAAAGTACATAAGATACAGATACAACATTAAATGTGCATCGATAACGATTACCTATATTGGAAATCTATTAAAGATTTATAATTATAAAAGTTTTGAATGAAATATTCTAATGTATTTTAATACAATTTGAGCCTATTTTTTGTGCTCCAAGTCCTGTTTTGTGGCATCTGTTGGATATGTTAATTCTTTATACTATACGTGTTCTCATTTGTTCTCTAATCTCATGACAAAAATAAAACATCATCGTAAAGTACAAAAAGCTATAAATGAACAAATACAACTATAAGACAGATATTACTACAGTACATTTCAGGTGTTTTTACTATCTGAAGGCGAACGCCTTTCGATCTAATCTTATATCTAGTTTTATCACTGTTTTTTGAGAGACCTTTCACAGCGGATCACAAAAACTCTACAACAGATTTGAGTCTAACGTAAGTGGCATGGCGATAATGTTTAGTGCTTGAAAAATATCGATTTTGTAATGCGGGTTTTACATTTACCCTTACGAGATGGCACTAGTGAAGCGAAAGTTAAAATAGTCCAATCAGAGACATTTTCTAATATGATGAGACCTTAAGCAACACTAGCGCCCCTAGTGACCCGATCATCCTCACCTTTATAGATTGTGTCAACGGACGCGATCACAATTTCACATGCTATGAAATTTACTGCGTAAACTTTTATACTGAGCTTGTATAAGAAAATAAAAGTGACAATGACGAATTAAGAAAGCATGCATTCTGAGTAAAAAATCCTTTATTTTTATGGTCAATCTGACAATCGGGGCCCAGCAAAACAGATTTGACAGCGAAAAGTTATGGTTCAACCGTTTCCTAAAAGGTGTAGGTGTCTGATAGTATTTTAGTTTGTTTTTCCTTTGTTTCTGTAGGTATTTGAAACCAATTCGAGAAATAACTTCACAAAAAACAATCGCAAATCACTGGTTTCATTGAAACTGACACAACAATTCAAAATGGCCGATTTTCTGATGAATTTCGTCGTGGTGTAATTGAATAGTGCTATGACGTCGGCTAGTTCCACCAGGGTCACTGGAGACGAGACCAGTACTGCTGCGAGTCTTGCCCTGGCACGGCGAGTGGTACTGACACTCCAGTGCCTAAAAGACCACCTAATTCTGAAATGGAGGGGATTGAATGAGAATGGATCATTGGAATTTTGGCTAAAAAGTTACAAAACTCTTAAGTGATTATGTAGCCATATTTTAACTACAACTTTACTATATATGAGGTCACGTTAATTTATATGTAAATGTATCTGTGTAGGTAAGTATGTATATAAACCTCATATAATTTGATTACTAGCAAGCTTTTCTATCCACTGGGATAATGTGATGTCTCCGTGTTACTACTGAGAATTTGATTTTCATTAGGGAGAATTTTATCTATTCTATATTTTATATAACTATGGTTTTGTAAACACATACATGCCATTACCTGAAGTACCTGTGGCGAAACATAGTACCGACAATGGTCGATAGATGGCGTCACAAGTCTTACATCACGAAGTTTTCGCGAATAAAAACAGATATAAAATCAATAAAAGGCAGTAGCCTGCCAGGCTCATCACCTCACCTGGTTGGTAGATCCTGTTCCCTAAATACCTATTCCTATAATCATCATCATCATCATCATCAGCATCATCATCATCAGCCTGAATAAGTCAATTGTGCTCGATGTTCAGCTCTTTTCATCCAACCACTGCCAGCTACTCTGCGGATATCGTGTATCTCTGTGTGTGGATATATACCTATCATAATTTGTGAAAAGAAAAGAAGGGACTGGGGATGTAAAAAAGTAAAAATGTCCAAGTATATATGTCCAAATACCTGGTGGTGGTGACGCCGGCTCATGCTGGTAACCGTGGTGGTTTACGTACGGGTGCGGCGGCTGCCGGTACCCTAGCTCGTAGCGCGGATACCCCAGGAACCCACTCTTACACAGCTCCGCTTCTGTCGTGTCGCATACCGGGGTCTCTGGCACCATGCCGCCGCCGTAGCCCATCGGAGTTAGGGGGCTGGAAGTTATAATGGTTGTTTTGAAAGTAAACTAAAGTTATATTTTACTTACGGCTGATTTTTCAATACTCAGATAAGTGTCTGAGGAATAAAATTGTTGCTGTCACTGTCTTATATAAACATTCGGACGCGACAGCAGCATAATTATTCCCCAGGTAAGTAAGTTTTATCTAACCATTGAAAAATCAGCCCTTATTGAATTAAAGCAGTATGGCTTTAGGTAGGTACCTATTAACCATTTCGAGGGAATGTATTAAAATGTTAAGATATTGTTCTTCTTTAGTAATCTTTTATTCCTTGTATGATATAGGGTCATTCTGTAGGTCTTTTAGGACGACGATTTCGAGATGTGGATCTCAGACAACTTTAAATCGATAACTGGCAAAAAATTTGCAAACCGCTGGATTGGATTTTATCATGTGTTTGGCCAAGACATACTTTGAGTCACTGAACTTAACTGGAGCAAGTTAGTATCTAAAGTTTATCACTGCCTCCAACAGTAGACATGGATCTCAAATCATAAAGATTTATAGACGAACTAGCTACTCTCGCGCGGTTTCACCCGCTGCTCGGCTTCATTTAATCCTAGCGTGATTCATATAGCCTATAGCACTTAGGAACATTGTAGCTATCTACCAGTGAAAGAATTTTGGAAATCCAACCAGCGGTTCCAAAGATTACCCCCCACATACAACCTATTTATTATATTAGTATAGATAAACCATCTTTCTTCACTTACCTGTAACTATCAACATTCAGCGGCGGTTGATACGGCTGGTGCGTGGGATGAGCCGGATGCGCCGGATGCGCGGGCGGCGGGTGATGCGTAGGATGCGTCGGCGCATGGGGTGCAGTTCCACTGTACCCGCACTCGGGGCTGCGGCGCTGCGACCTGATCTTCTCCTCACGCCGCCACTTCGCGCGCCGATTCGAGAACCACACCTTAACGTCGGGTTAAGTTAACACACAGCGCGGACGCTAGGCGCTACGCTCGGGCCAATTAGGATCGTTACAAGGCGTCACACTTGTTGATGATACTAATTTTAACGTTCTTTTAAGCAATTTTGGAATAGTAGGTACCTATTAAAGGTTGAGCAAGTACTGGGTTCTATGATAGCCATACAGCCAGTAATGGACAGTGATTAAGGTGATGTTAAGTGGAATGTTTTTTGAAACAAATGCCTTAAGTAAATTTCTGAAGAATGCAGGGAAATGTAGGTACAGGCCGGAGAACTACGTTATACGACAGAAACATAAGATAAAATGTGTAAATTAAAAAATCAATTAGATTAGATTCAGAATTCCTGTCCGACAAAACTGATTTTCTCGCAACTGACAAACTGAGCATCACGATTGTCGTTGAAAACAGTTACCGATCTACCTACATAGGTATACATATGTATATAGATAGATACCTTAACAAATCGAATCACTCGACCGTATAAATTCCACGTAATACACGATGTAATTACATAAGTACCTACCAATCTTCAATATCTATACATATACATAATATACTTATGCTTTTAATCAAGGGAACGGGTCTTATAACAAGAATATAGGAAGCAATAAAGGTGCCTATGCTAAATACTAATACAGAATTCGTCATAGTATTTTGACACTCACCTGTATTCTGGCTTCTGGTAATCCAATCTTTGCAGCCAATCGCTCGCGAGCAAAAACGTCTGGGTAGTGGGTCCTTTCGAATTCTGTAAAGACGACACTTTTATTATGATCATCTTCATAAGCTTTATTTCGAAAAATGTTTTTTTTTTTTTTTGTGAAAAAACGCTTGCAACTACGGACTAAGTCGAAAATTTCGACAGCGCGTTTGTAATTAGGTACGACAGGTTAGATGATCCAGGAGACCCATTAAACAAAGTTTTATTAATGCGATAGATCGCCAAATGAGCAGACACATTAATTACTTCATGGTTAAAAAATTGGCACCGCTCATCGATACCCGCAGTAGGTT